CACACACACACACACACACACACACACACACACACACAGTGTCAACCATGCCTTGCTGAATCCCAGAGAGGTCAAGGGTCAAGGGTGGGGCAGGTAAGGCCCGGGGCATTGCTGGCTTACAGTCTGGCACTGAGCTGCTGTGGGAATTAGTCAAATATTGGCATTTAGCCTCCTCACCTGCCCTGCTGGCTGCAGCTTCCCTGCTCAGAACCTAACCTCCCTAGGCCCCTCTTTGCCTGCTTCAGTCTTCTTGGGTGAGGGCATAGCCATCTTGCACCTTTACTCGGGTTTTAAACAAGGACTGCTTTAGGAGCCACCATTCTGGGGGGCAGCAATAAATTGTAAATTGTCTACATTATCCTTGCCTCAGATAATTTGTGGAAGAAGTCTTCTCTCCAAACATATCTAAGATCTGACATGGTGTGAAAGAAAATCTCATAAAGTTTGTTGGTTGCTCTGGGCATGTGGTTGGAGCCTCCTCTACAGAAAGAGGCCAGAACAGAGGTAGGGTGGGATGCAAAGGCCATCCTTTGTGGGACAGAGGGGTGTTAGGGCCCAGCGCAGTCCAGCACCCTGGCCTATGGTCTGTGTGTGGCCTGAGACTGCAGAAGACTGAGGTTAATGTGAGCGAACTAATTAATCTGGCAGAGGAAATTTCAAAGGATCCCAGTATTTAGGCTGTATCATGGGCACTGCTGGCTGCTTTTAGTCAGATACACAATGAGACTTAGGAACAAGAAGGAAATGTTAAACAGTTTGCAGTTTTATCAGAAAGGAAGCGCCTGCAAAGTTGGCAAAGGAACATATGGTTGTTGAAAAGATTAACATTGAAAACAACCCAAGTACTTTGCATCAGAATAATAGAAAGATTGGGCTGGGGATTTAGCTCAGTGGTTTCACCGCCTGCTGCACAAGTGTAAGAGTTCAATCCCTGGTACCAAAAAAAAAAAAAAAAAAGAATAATAGAAAGATGGCTTTAGGGCATCTCAGGAATCTGTAAGACTCCACTCTTCACAGATTTAAGGGTGCAAAACTGTAAAACTTTCATTTGAGAAGATTCCCTGGGATGCCTGCCTGAGAAGAGCTGCCTGGGGAATTAGTTCCCTGGGATTCATTTCACAGTGCTCAGCCATTAAGGCACTCTGAGGCTTCTCCTGCCGTGATGCTAGGGGGCCTGGCTACTATTCAAGCTGGCAGTAAACCCTAGTGTCATCCACACAGTGCTAGCTTTTCAGGCATACAGAATGCAAGAGTTAAGGGGTCCTGAAGGCTTCCACTCAGGGTTCAAAAGAAGGCCTGGGAGGCTAGGCAGTGCACCCTTGAGAGGGCAGTGCATGAAGCTGTGAGAGTGAAGCCAAAAGTGAGTAGAAACCCCAGGAAGTTGGAGATACCAGGAACCTGGAACATCTGTTGAGTAAGGATTTAAGCAGGGGGGCCAGGGATTTAGCTCAGTGGTTTCGCTGCCTGCTGCGTAAGCACAAGGACCCGAGTTCGATCTCCGGTACCAAAAAAAAGATTTAAGCAGGGAGCAGAGCCCACCCCAAGAGAGAGGCCATGAGGGCTGTGAGGGGCAGAGTTACCCAAGCCCTCACATCTTGCCACCATGTACCATAGATACTGGTCCTGGAGCTACATGATTTAATATTTGCAGTGATGGGCTTCAGTCACATTTTGGTCCAATTCCTTTTTTTTTTTTTTGGTATCAGGGATCGAATTCGGGACCTTGTGCTTTCGAGGCAGGTGGTAGAACCACTGAGCTAAATCCCCCTCCCCCCAGGGATCAAACTCGGGACCTTGCGCTTGCAAAGCAGGTGGTGAGACCACTGAGCTAAATCCCCGGCCCTGGTCCAGTTCCTTTTTATTCCCATTTTTTTCTTTTGGAATAGGATTGTTTATCCTGTGCCATTGTATCTTGGGAGCACATAACTTGCTTTTTCAATTTTACCAGGGTTCATAGCTAAGAGTTTGTCTTGAGTCTGAAGACTTTGGATTTGGGCTTTTCAGCAGGGCTAGAACTGTTACAACTTTGGCAACTCTTATAGATGAACTAAATGCATTTTGCATAATGAGATGCACATAAATCTCTTGGAAGTTGGGGTGCAATATTATAGTTTAATTCTAAAATGATATTTCATGTGTTTGGAAGGTGATTGGATCATCAGGGTGCTGTACTCATCAGTGGATTTATCCACTGATGAATTTAGTAGCTAAATGTGTTATTAAAAGGTGGGGCCATAGCCAGGTGTAGTGGCACACACCTGTAATCCCAGCCCTTGGGAGGCTGATGCAAGAGGATTGCCAGGACTTTGAGGCTAGCCTGGGCTACATAGTGAGTTTAAGACCAGACTAAATTATATAGCAAGACCCTGCCAAAAAAAAAAAAAAAAAAGTTGGAGCTTGTTTGGAAGTGGGTCACTAGGGGCACCTTTCTTCCACCATGTCCCTCTGCCATCTTCATTCTGCCTTGGAGCCTGCTGACTTATGGACTAAAGTCTTGAATCAAAATAAACTTCTCTTTTAAGTTGAGGGTGTCAGGTATTGTGTCTCAGTGAGAGGAAAGTGACTAAGACATCCCACATCATCTAGTTAATTCCTGTATTCCTGACTTAGTCTTTCAGCCCAGTGGCCCCTTCTCTGGTAGCTTAGACCAAACCAGATCACCTTGGGTGATGTTCTCAAATGATGTCCCCAGGTCCCAGGTGCCTGTCACATGCCTGCCATACCATTGTCTGAACCCTGGGCTGTGGGCACAGTGCAGATGTGGACACAGGCTTTTACCACCCTGCTTGTCAGCCACTTACAGAGCTGCTGGTTGGGGGAGTAAATGAAGTTACCTGAGTGAATATTTGTCATCAACTTTATCAGCTTATATTTACATTTGTTTTATTGAGGTGTTGTTTACGTGTAATAAAATTCCCCAGTTCCAACTGTACAGTTGAGTCTTGACAGACGTATGTAGTTATGTCACCATGGCCACAAGCAAGATAGAGTATTTCTTTTAATATTCCAAATTCCCTGGAGCCTGGTGCAGTCAATGTCCAACTTTACCCAGCCCCTCTACTCACTGTTTTGCTTTTCTATCTCTATAGTTTTGCCTTTTCAGGGATTTCAGGTATATGGAATCTTATGTATAATCTCTGTGGCCTTCTGTTTTAGCATGGCAGAATGCTTTCAAGGTTCATCTCTGTTTTGTGTATTAGCAGTTCAGTGTGATTTTAGAACCACTTTACATCCAGAAATAACTAGCCTCAGTAAGGTTCAGTTTGGTAAGAGCAATAGTTTTCTTTTTACTTTTTTTTTTGGTACTGGGGATTGAACTCTGGACCTTGTGCTTGTGAGGTGGCAGAACCACTGAGCTAAATCCCCAGCCCAAGAGCAATAGTTTTCTAAAAAAGCATGCCCTGCATACTTGAGGGGTCCCAGATGTGCAGGAGGTCAGCAAGGCCAAAGTGATTTCCGGTACATAGAGATTTGCTCATTTGCTCTTCCACTCCGGTCCAAGTCCAAGGGGGTTTCCAGTGTCATGATAGACTGAGTGCAGAAGCAGACAGGAGGATCTCTCTGTCTGTTGAACGGTCCAGCCTAAAGAAATGTCTAAAAGGGCTAGGCTCATAGTTCAGTGATAGAGCACTTGCATAGTGTATGCAAAGCTCTGAGTTCAGCTCCTAGCATCAGAAAAAAGAAATGTATAAAAATGTGAATGTCACTCCTCCCTAAAATTTCTAATATTAGAAAATAGAATTGCTTTTCATAACAAATGTTATTTATATTAATATATAATGGAGTGCTTATTATCACTATACATGAATTAATAGATGAATTAATTTTTTTTTGGTGGATCTAGGATTGGAGTCCAGGGCCTCATGCATGCTAAACGAGCACTGTATCACTGACCTGTATCACCAGCCCTAGACATTTTTAAATGTGTTAACTTCTCGCTCTCTTTTTTTTTTTGGTACTGGGGATCGAACTCCAGTCTTTGCGCTTGCGAGGCAGGTGACGGAGTCATCGAGCTAAATCTCCAGCCCTATGTGTTAACTTCTCATATGACAGTAATAAACTATACAAACAGATGTTCCTCAGCATCCTCACATTTTCAGTGTAGAGAGCTCCTGAGACCAAGAAGTTTGAGAATCATGGGTTAGAGATGTTTCTGCAAGAAGAGTGGGAAGAGGATTGGGGTTAGCATTAGGGATCAGAAGAGGGTCTTGAGACTCTATGGATGGCCACCAGCCTGAGGCCTGGAGAAGAGACTGTGGGACAGTGAGGGACTGGGCAGAAGCACCTGGACGGTCTTGCAGCCCTGTCCCTTTTCTCAGTCCTTAGCTCTTTCCCCCCGCCACCTTGTTGGGCAGGTTCTGCTGATGTCCCGGGTGTGCATGCTTCCCACAGAGAGTTAATGAGTAATTCAGGATGGTGGCCAGCTCACAGTGACTGCAAAGCCCAGAGAAGCTGCTCTGCTAAGATGAAGTGGCACCTGGGGTCTCACGTCAGGTGAAGTGCTTTCTGAGGGGCTGCTGTCACTGCTGGATTCCTGCCCAAGGACAGTCCTAAGAAATCAACAGGACTGACTGTTGGCTTTGGCGTTCAAGAAAAAGAAAAAAAAAAACAAAACTTTTCCTCCAATAGAGTCCTAAACTCAAATTAAGACTATCTCAGATGATTATTTTAACATGAGCGGATGGGAGGCTATGGTTATTACTGGCAGTACCCTTGTGGGAAATGTGCAGCCCTTGTTGGATAATGTTGGCCATGCCGTTAATAAACTTGAAGGGAGTTCCAGCCACCCCTTGACCTGAGAACTGCTTCTCTCCTGCAGGCGGAAGGGGCTGTGGTTCCGACTGAGGAAGTTGCTTCTGTGTATCTTGGGGCTATACATCGCCATTCCCTTTCTCGTCAGACTGTGCCCTGGGATACAGGCCAAACTGATTTTCTTGAATTTTGGTAAGTGCTACGTGTCAGTTTTTCTTAGAGTTTGTTTTCATGGTGATGTGTGATTTTAGTGGGTGTCTTTTTATTCTGAGGTTGAATTTATATGTAATGAAATGTACAAATCTTTAGGGAACAGTGTGCAGGTGGGTAGATGGAGAAATAGCACCTGTCTGTGCCTAGTCAGGGTGTTGTGAGGGTGCTGCCCTATGTGTACTGGTCCCTGAGTGACTGTGCTTAGAGATGTTGATAGTATGAAAGGTCATCCACAGCTGTCCTGATGGAGATACTTTGTCCTGTGTGCAAAGAGGCTATCCTTAGAAAAGATGTTCATTGAAAAATATAGTACCTTTAAAACTAAAAAAGTAGGTTATTTTTTACTTTTTACAAATTTTTGATTTTTTTTCTCCTTAAGAAAGCCTAACATGCTTTGATTTCTGTGCTGTCTGTGCTGGCCTTATAGTGTTATAGGCTCCTTGAATTAACCTGGACTGTGTATATGTTTGGGGGAAAGAAGAGAGGTATCCAGCTTATGAGACAGAAGCCAGAGGGGCTGGTCTGTGTGTTTCCTGGGCACGGTCCCTTTAGGACAGTTGTCCCCAACCATTTTGGCACCAGGGACCAGTTCTCCTGGAAGACAAATTTTCTATGGGGCGTGGTGGATGATGGTTTGGGGATGATTCTGAGGAGCTTGAAACCTTGATCCCTCACTTGGACAGTCCATATTAGTCCATTCCCACGCTGCTATGGGAATCCAATGCCTTGCTGATTGACAGGAGGCAGAGCTCAGGTGGTAATGCCAGCGATGGGGAGAGTTGTAAATACTGATGAAGTTTTGCTCCCTTGCCCCTACTCACTTCCTGCTGTGCAATCAGGTTCCAAACAGGCTGTGGACCAGTCCCTGGCTCTGGGGTTGGAAACTTCTGCTTTAGGAGACTTGCGGGGGGGGGGGGGGCAGTGACAGAGGTTCACTGCACGAATGGTGCTTTTGAGGATGGCACAGACAGCATTGCAGCAGGACAAGGTGGACTCTGTGCAGGCTGTATGTGAGCTCTTTCAGGGTGAGTTTGGCCCCTGTGTGACTGTGTCAGGGTCAGAAGCCAGGCTTGCTGCTGTGGGGGGAATGGTGAGGTAGGAGTTGCAGGGGAGGATAGACAGAGGTGCCACCAGGTGACCTGGGCTGCAGGGTCACAGGGTGGGGACACAAGGAGGAGCTGCTAGATGCTGGGTGGTGGCCTGGGAAGTGCAAAGCCAGGGACAGGTGAGTGGATGGTTGCATCTCAGGGCTGAGACCCCTCGTAGAAACAATAGTACTACAGGCTCTGTAGGGTCTGGGTTTAAGAGTTTGAGTATTCAGCCAATAAAAGACTTGATCACAGAAAGTTGGCAGAAACTGGCTAAGAGGGAATTTCTGTTCTTTATACTGGTAGGAGGAATGGAAATAGTAAGGTCAGCATTACTGTTTGTGAATCTGTACTAAGTTTTTATTTGGTTATGATAAATTTCTTATAAAATATGTATTATATACTAAAAGGCATTTTATTTTCCTAATGGATGAGTAACCAAACTTCTAGGAATTTATGGTGTCTAAGTTTTGCCGCCTTGGGGGAAGCACAGCCTTAAATAGAAACTAACAATACCCTACTATCAAGGGAGCATTGATTTCTAATGTCCTTAAATGTAAAGGGTAAAGCAGAGAGTAAATAGAAAAGAGTTTGGGGTTGAGTATAATCATGAAGCACAGGGCTGCAGATCTGCCAGTGAAGACCTTAGACTCAACCCACACAGTTGTTCCAAACTTACTCAGAAGTTACACCGAGGACAGGTGCCTTTGCTGCAGGGTATGAGCTCTGCTTGCAGAGGAGTGTGTGGGGCATGCTGTTCCTTGGGCCACACTGTGTGTTCCAAGCAAAGATCTGTATTGATTTCCTGCAGATAATTGTTGGAGCTACTTCAGGCACAACCTACAGATTTTGCTGTGCTGATTTCCTAAGGGGATGGCAGAGTGTTCTGCCAGAACAGAACTTTGGATCCTCCTCCTCAGCTCCCACAGAGCAGAGAGGAGGCTGTGCATGGGGAGTGGGGCTGTCCCTAATGTTTTCTGTCATGTGTAGTTACATGGGAGCAGGCGCTCCTACAGCAAGTGCTTGTGTTTTTGTCTTTGTGGTTCTGGGGATTGCACCTAGGGCTGTGAACATGCTGGGCAAGCACTCTACCACTGAGCTACGCTCCCAGCTCTATGGCAGTGTTTTTAAAGGAGATCTCTAGTTGTCAATAGGATACAAACCTGATTCTGACCTCTTTTGAAAAGTTACTCAAAAAAACCTGACACCAGCAGGCAGCATGCTGGGAACCATGATTGGGCATCGCACAGTCTGGCCCCTGGGTTCTGCTTGGCCCCTACACCACACTCCAGGTGTGCACTTACCATGGCTGCCCCTCCTGGAAGGAGCACCCTATTCCCAGGCCCTGCCACTCTCCCTGGGTAGCTGCAATGGGGGACTCCCCCAAGAAGCTCTGGAGGAGGTTGTTCTCTGCATTGCAGCTCCAGCTTCTCAGTATTCCAGCCACTGTCTGGTCAGGTTTTAAGTGTTTGTGCCCATCTCTCCTAGTTAGAGGTAGAGGAGGTAGGGGTCTGAGCCCAACCCTGGTGACCTGGAGTTTCACCTCAAGATAGGGGAGAGCCTGCATGGTGATCATAGGGTGCCTTGTTCTTGTCCCCTCCAGATGAGAATCATGACTCTGTGGCTGTTATGACATTGACATTGAAGGGATGAAATGGTCTTTTGTGCTCCAGAATGTGATTAATGTATTCTTTTTTTAATTAATATATTCTTAAAGCTCACATCAAATTTGTCTGAAACAAAATATATAAATCAGATTTTAAAAAAAGCTTTAGAAGAAGCATAGTACCTATGAAGTGTTAGTCTACTTTAAATATATTTTCATAAGCAAAAAATACATGAAAACTTAGCCAAAAACCAAAATAGACAAAATGAAAGTTACTCCTGTAAATCTATTAACACAACAGTTTCTTTCCTGCCAGTCTTTTTATTTATTTATTTTTTTAATGTGTCTGTCCAGATAAACATAGCATGTATGCTTTTGCTATCTTGGCATTCTGAAATCTGATCCCTCCCAGCCATGTCTGTGTGGTGCCTGGCATCTACTATGGCCTGGGAGTCTGGGTACTTCCTGGATGTCACCACCCTCCCATTGGCGATTAGGGCTGTGTCTCCAGTGAAGGAAGTCTTGGCTGAGAGCCAGAGAGAACATTGCCTAGAGTCTGTGTGGGGCTCAGCACCCTTTGGAAATAGATCTGTAGTTCCTAGCCTCTTTCCTAACCCCAGAACAGTCCCTGTGAACTCCCAATAGTTTTTTTGTTTTTGTTTGGCTTGTTTGTTTTTTTGTTGTTGTTGTTGTTTTTGGTACCGGGGATCGAACTTGGGTCCTTGTGCTTGCGCAGCAGGCTCGAAACCACTGAGCCAAATCCCTGGCCCTTGGCTTGTTTGTTTTTGAGACAGGGTCTCACTACATAGTTCAGGCTGGCCTTGAACTCACTGTGTAACCCAGGCTGGCCTTGAATTTGTGGCAATCCTTCTGCTTCAGCTTCTCGTGTGCTGGGATTACAGGCCTTTGCTACCACGCCTAGCCCCGGCCCTGGTAGCTTTCTTTTCTTTTCCCTTTGGTTTCCCTGGAAGCCCCTGCAGCCTCATTGAGTGACTGAAATTTGTTGAGACACAACCCACCCAGCAAGACTGCTGTTACTTGCCATGATGAGTAAGGTGAAGCCCAAGGCCACACGTTCTCACACTGTCACAACTGTCCATCCAGCTCAGCGTTTCAGCCTTTCCCTATCAAGAATTTCCCAGATTAGGTAAAAACCAGTAGAGTAGATTGTTTTGCATCTGTTCACATATTTATTCCCTCTCTCTACTGTCTATTGTGATCCTTTTTAAATCAAGCCTGCCTGTCTTATGGTTGCTGACTTGTGATGTCATAGCCAGAGGTGGATAACAAAAACTAGATGAACCAGAGGCTCCAGTGAGCAGCCAGACAAGCCCTGCTGGCCAGAGGTCTGGAGCCTAGGAATGGGCCTTGAGGCTATAAGAGCAAGTATGTGAGGGAAGAGAAGGGATCCAGCCCAGTCCTTGGGCTGGATGTGGGAGAGCACTCTGCCATGGCCTACTTCTGAGGGGCTGCCCTGTACCCTCTGCCTCTGCTCCAGCCTGTGTTTGCAGCCGGGTCTGGTCAAGGTGGGTTTTGGGCAGCTTTCCAGAGTCACGGGAGCTATGAAGAGTTGCCAAAGGAATATCTGACCAGGCATGATCTCAGGCGTCCTGGTGCTTACCTGGTACTGGCCCCTTCCCTTGACCCTTGCTTTGTGGTTTTTCTGCTCAGTAGACCTGTACTGACTAGGTGGTTCCAACAGCCACTGCTCTTTGGGGCTGTGTGCCCTGGGGACCAGCCAGGCCTGGTTTTGGAGTCTTCGCAGTGGTCAGACAGCTATGGAGGAAAGCAAGGCCTTCAGTGTGCCTCCCCTTCACAGTTATTTTTAAGTGAAGAATAAAAGCTAATTGGAAGACCAGTGTCCTGGAATGAGTCTGTCCTGGAGTAGAATTTTACTTCTCAGTTCCTAAGTTTCTTGGGGCTGGCTGCTCATTCTCATGGAGCACCAGCAGAACTGCAGGCGGTGGATGGAGAACTGAGAGAGGCCTAAAGTTGAGCCAATGGGTACATGGCTTCTGCCCTCCACACTACTGCCCCCTATTGGGCAGGGTAGATAGTCCCAGCTTCCGAGGCTGCAGCTTGAATGAGTCAGGTGTGGGCTGTGACCCTATTTAGGGGTCCCTTTACCTTATAGTTGTCAGGTGATGGCCTAGGACGTCAAACACAGCCTGCAGGTCCTGAGCACGTGTAGTGAAGTCACAGAGTTGGGGCGCAGGAGCAGCTGATAATATGGGCACACTCTCCAGGCTTCCTTCCAGTCAGAGCCTTCACTGGGTCCAGTAGCTAGGATACACCTGAGCTCCTCAGTATGGCTGTGCATTTTCTTGACTGCCTCTACAGTCCTAGGAAGACGAATATGTATCCTCTCACAGTCCTGGAGGCCACTAGAAGTCTGAGACCACACTGTCAGCTGGGCTGCACTACCTGGGATGCAATCCTTCCTGCCCTTGTCCACATCTGGCAGGGGTTAGCAGTCCTTGTCTCCCCTGGTTTTTAGATGCTTGTGATCCTCTTCATGTGGCTTCCCCCTTCTTGTCAGGATTAGAGTCTGCCCTGATGACCCTGATTCAGGTTCCATTACCTTGTGAAGACCCCCTTTCCAGCTAAAGCCACATTTTCAGGTGTGTATAGGGGGGTGGGCTTCAACATGTCTTTTTTGGGACCATGACTCAGCTGTAATAAGGAAACTTAGGAAAGTTTTAAACATTTAGTTGGCTCCTGGGGAAGAGGTGGATTAAGATAGTCTAGTCTTAATGGTCTTAAGTGGTATAGACAGTCCAGGGAGGATTTATCCCCCACACGTTCAAGCAGGTCTGAGGAAGAAGCATGTATGTCCTTTGTCCTTATGAGTCAGATGGTTAATTTATTCAACAAATGCTCCTAGAGTCTCGATTACACTTGAAGTGAGAGCTAGTCATGAGGGATGGCAAACCCCTCCTCACCAGAGAAAACTGTCAGCAGCTGTGGCTTCCTCCTGGATAGCAGGGTTGACCAGAAGTCAGGACTGTCCTGCTGTTTGTCACTAGCTCACTTAGGAGCTGCTATTTTGTAGTGAGCAAATCCCATCTCAAAGTTTGTGGGTTTCTTTTTTTTTATTTAAGATTTTCAATTAAATTTACCTTCAAAAGTTGTGTTTACCACAAGCAACAAAACTGCAGTGGTGTCTTTATCAATTTTTTTTTATCACTGGGACAAACACCCACAACTCAAAGGAAGAGAGATTTCTTTTGGCTCACATTTGTAGTCCATATTTTGGCTGACTCTCAAAGCAGAAATGGCATGACAGAGAGGCATGGAGAACAAAAAGCTTATCTCACGGCAGCCAGGAAGCAGAGAGGAGGAGGAGCTGGAGAGGGAGATGTTAGGGCCCAAGGAACTGCCTTTACCAGGCCCCACCTGCTCACAGCAAGTCAGCTGTAGCACCCCTGTAGTTCTGATATAGGGGAAATAAATAACTCCCAACCTGCTAGATGTCAGATACACCGAGTTCATGTTCCCCAAAATTGAAGAATGAATTCTAAGGAACAACAGAGGTTAAGAGTATGAAATATTTATTGAGATAGCTCCTGAGAGACAGGAGGGGACCTGAAAGTGGGTTGCCAATGAGCCCACTTCTCAAGGGAAGTTTTATAGAGCAAAATCAGGAGGTGGATACAGCATGGTTCAAAAATATGATAAACCAATAAGATTACAAGTATAGCTGCTTATGTAATATTGATCCAGTGGGGAAGCAGGTCACATAGCAAGTATACATGGAAAGAACAAAGATCTTCTTTAGGAAGGGATGGATCAGCAACCCACCAGGGTGACTGATGTCCATCTAGACTATTGGACCAGGTGATACCATTTATCTCATCTCCTGGGATGTATGTAGGCCTGGTCATTTCGTCTTTATCTTGAGGCCTGGCCAACAAATGTGCCTCTGGCCACAATTGTAATGCATTCTCATCTTCTGCACTGACTCCCTCGAGAGCCTAGTTCTGTGTGACTGCCGATAATATTTTTACCTAACTTAGCTGTCTATGATAGTTCAAATTCTCTTCCAAAGGTCCATATAGATCTAAGCCATAACAAATGGTGTTGCCACTCACACCTGGCATATGTGTCTATTTTTCCCGTGCTACACATGAGTGTGGCTGTGGACATCAATGCTGTTTGCTGGTGTTTGCATTAACAGAGTGGGATTGCATGGCACCCACAGGATCTTACTGTTGTCCCTTGGATCTAACACCGTGATTTTCCAGTGGAGCACCTGTTGATCCAGTCATTGTCCCACTGGCCAGCTCACTGCAGGACTCCTGTTACTCTTGTGCTCACTTCACTCACTATGGACAGGTCCTCTGGGTTCATCTGTTCAGCTGCTCCACATCTTGTTTTCTGTGGTCCTTTCTGTGTTAAGGGACCATGCTGTAGACTTGCAAATTCCTTTACTTTTTTTGCCTCTTAAATTCAATTTGTCCTTGAATCCTGTGGCTCCAGCCACAAAACATCTTGTATGTCATCCCCTTCCCCATGGTCCCTGCCACCCTGAAGCCTCAGGCTTCAGCCATGGCTTAGCTGAGCTCCTCTGCAGGCTCCTGTGCTCCTGTACCCTAACCCTTTAATGCACTCATGCACATCTCACATCTGGAACAACCTTTTGGTTCCAGGCTCTGTTCAGAGCCTGCCCAGACAGCATTGTCTGTGGAGCCATCTGTATTCCAGTGCACACTCAGCCCTACCCCTGCCTGGGACTGGGGGCCTGGGTCTAACAGACCCCATGGGAGTTTCACTTTGCTGTGTGTAGGGTCTATGCACATGTGGACTTGTGTGTGTGCAGGTGTGTGTGGGGGAAGCTGTGCACATGTCAACAGGTGTGTGTGGGCATGCATTTTGTGCATTTGTGGGCAGGTTGCATTGTGTGCATGTGAGTGTTCACATTTGTCTGTGTGCCCCTGAACATCCACTAAACCTGATGCCAATCTCTTTGTTCCCTGCAGTAAGGGTTCCCTACTTCATTGACTTGAAAAAACCACAGGAGCAAGGTTTGAATCACACCTGCAATTACTACCTCCAGCCAGAGGCAGATGTGACTATTGGAGTCTGGTGAGTGTCCGACGCACCTGCAGCCAGTGCCCCTCACAGGGGATTTTTCTATTTACTCATTCCTGTTCCATAGAGAAGATCTCAGCTAAATTTGATCCTAATGGTACAGGATGAAAACAGCACCAGTCTTTGTTCTGAGGTCTTCCAAATAGCAGAGGCTTTATGACCAGATTATTTTTAGAGTGTTCTTTCCAAGGTAAACTGAAGGAGTGCAGAGCAAGCTAGAAACAAACAGCACATCCACACAGAATGGCAAACACTGATGTGAATGCACTTTTCTTGAAGTGAATGTCTCCCTACTGGAAAAAGTAGTGGTTTCTTTTCACATGCAGAACTTCTCAGCAGGGTGAGTGTTTGCCATCTTCTAACTATTTACTGTTTTTGCTTTGAATTTAAATTGGATTTAGGATGGGTGTGGTAGCTCATGCCTGTATCCCTCAGTACTTCCGGAAGCTGAGGGAGAATTGCCTTGAGTTGGAGGCCAGCATACATAGTGAGTTCAAGGCCAACTTGAACTATATAATGAGACCCTGTCTCAAAAAATAAAAAAAAATTTAAAAATTGAATTTAAGCCCTGCAACTTCTCTGTGTTTTCTTGAGAATATGTTGTAATATTTTTTCTCTAAATTAAAGTGGGTGTTACTGAACAACTGAATCAGGATTGATCAAGCACTTTCTTTTTTCTCTTAGAAGCAGCTCTGAGTCATTGTTCCTTCATCTAGCTGGGTTTATTTTTCCGTAGCCATAAAGTCTCTTTCTGCTTTCAGAAAACTGCTGCGTATGTGAGAAGCTTATGAATGGAATGCCATGAGTAGATTCCCAGTGTGGGCGAGAGGATGTGCAGACACTTGGAAGAACATAAAATGGGAAGGGAGAGTGTGTTCTTAGTTGGTGCTGGGCTGGAGTCTGTTGTGCTCTGGTGTGACTTGGCGCAGCTCTCTGACCCTCGGCTGGGTAGGAGCTGACCTGTTGGGCTCAGAGCCTCTTGGAGAGAGGGAGTTGGGCCTCACTCTGCTGACCACAGGCCTCCTGCTGTGGGACAGGGTGGGTGGACTGGTGCTTAGTCTGAAAGCACCTACGTAAACTACCACCTGCCCAGAGAAGTCTGTGACAACAGTGGCAAGATTCAAGGTAATGACAGTCACTTGATGAGTTTCTGGGTGCCAGTGCTGCCTTGTCTGTGCCCCTGTACCATTGTGGTGACCACAGGGCACTGCCCACCAGGCCAGCCAGCAGGATCACCTTGAGAGAGTTTCCCAGCAGCTGCCTGAGGCTTGAGGTCTCAGCTCCTCTCACCTGGCGGGGGTGGGAGTGGGGTAGGGGGGTGAGGACTGGAACAGCCTTCTTGATGGCTGGGAGATTCCTTGGTCCTGGAGCTGGGTGGACTGGCTTCTGGAAGCTGGCTGGTGCCAGCACCTTGAAAGTGCACAGGCGTATGACTGTTGTAGTGGCCAGAACTACCCCAAAATGTCCTCTTGAGCAGGTCAGAGATGAGATGCTGTTGGATATGGTGACACACAACTGTAATCACAGCACTCAGGTGGCTGAGACAGGAGGATTGCCATGAGTTCGAGGCCAGCCTGGGCTACAGAGTGAGTTCAAGGCCAGCCTGAAATAAATAAATAATAAATAAATAAATACACTCTGCCTCAAAAAAGCCAAAAAATTAAAAAGGATATATACATGTATGTTTACATGTGTTTACAATAAGCATATATATATTTATTTTAAAATGCTGGGGATGCAGCTCAGTGGCAGAGTGCCCCTGGGTTCAAACCCCAGTACAAAAAAAAAAAAGGAGACGAATACTGAAACTTAAGCTCTAAAAGATAGAAAATTGGCTATTTGATTCTTAAAAGATTCTTGTCATTGGTATGTAGAATGAATTTGAAGGTTTAATAGAGACCTCATTCAGATGCTCCCCAGTTTGACCTGAATTAAGATTAACCGTAATATCACTCTGAAGGAAAGTTTGGCCTGAGAAACCAACTGTCTCTGGGTACCTGGGCAGGTGTGGAGCCATCTGAGCCAACATCGAATGTGTCCCTGTTACCTGTGTGGCTCCAGGGCTCTGGAGGGCTCTGACCTACAGAGCTTCTGGTTATTAGGGGAGAGTGGTGTCGTCCTCCTATCCTGGTAACTGCTACAAGGACCCCCTTTTGTAGCCCAGAAGAAGCCCATGTACCTGAGGAAATGCTCCTGAGGTTGTCTGCAACTGGCCCTGCAGCTTGTGGTTCCTGGTTATTTATTCTATCACTGGGACACATTGTGCCCGAGCTATTCCACCCTCCAGTAGGTAGTGGGCTCCCTGTTCTCCCTATATAACCCTGCTTATGGCTGCCACCACTTCTGCTGCTTTTTCCAGGCACACTATCCCTGCTGCCTGGTGGAAGAACGCCCAAGGGAAGGACCAGATGTGGTACGAGGATGCCTTGGCTTCCAGCCACCCGATTATTCTGTACCTGCACGGGAATGCGGGAACCAGGTGAGACAGAGGAGCCCACGTAGGATGCATCCTCCCTGCAGAGCACAGCTCCTTTGTGGGGCCCAGCCAGGACTAAATTTGTAGTCCCACAGGTTCAGGCTCACAGACCTTCTGTAGTGAGGGAGAGCATCCCAAGAGCAGATGAGTAGCCGAGTTCCAGTGGGACTGGGGAGGAAGGAGCATTTGGGTAAAGTTCATAAGACAGGGTAGTGCACATAGGGCCAGCAGTCTGGTCTGCAGAGTGGACTTGAGTACCACAGCCCTGAGCATCCCATCTGTGGCAGCACTGGGTCAGGGTGTAGGAGGCTTCTTCTGTCAGAAGAACCCAGGCTCTCTGTCCAGGCTGTTTCCAAGAGCAGAGTGCAGGTCTGCGCAGCAATGTCAGTCACCTTGGCTGCCCACCACAGAGTGCTCTGCTGGCTACCCTGATGCCAACAGTATCAGTATGTCCTAAAACACTGCTGCTGAGGTTTGTATCTCTGGGATTGGTCAGGCCTTGTGGTTTTATCAGGATGCATCTCTTGAGTGGGTTTAATTGCTCATCCTTCACCTTGAGCTAGACTTGCTGTCCCCAACCAAAGATAGCCCGTGTTCCTTCCAGGTCACTGCTGCTCTTCAGGAGCACTTCTATGGAGCCCAGAGGGGAGGAGGGGAGGTGGATTTTCTTAGCAAAGCATTGTTTGAAATCCTGAAGGTCACTATTTCTACAGCTTCCTTAGGTTGCCTATCAGAGCCAGCGGCAGGGAGGTGGGGCGCCTGCAGGGCTGGAGCAAGGGAGGCTGAGCTGTGGGCATTTTGCAAGCAGAAGCAGCAGAGAAAACAGTGTGTGGGCCTTTCTGGAAGGGAGAGCAGGTTTGGGTGGGTGTTTCTGCCTGGGAGCAGGGAGCATGGCAGGAAGAACCCAAAAGCATGGCCTGTGGCTGGTCTCTGTGTGGAGGAGTGCTTGGCCCAAGTCACGGGTGCACCATGCTGTCTGCTCTCTTCTTTGTGGGGACAAGCTGCAGTGGGTTTTGCTTCTGCCTGTCAGAGAGCAAGTATAAAAACAGCTCTGGTACCATTTTTCTATAAATGGGAAACTGTAGCTGGCATGAATAAGGCTCAGTTCTGCAGTGCCAGTCATGTGATAGAAAAAGACAAAGCCTGCTTGTAACTTTAGGTCTGAAAGGACCATGGTGACAGTCAAGTTTGCTATCCCTCCTGCCCCAGCAACTGCCTATGTTGCAGATTTCGCCTGCATTCTCCCTGCTTCTCCACCTCTCGAGGGCCTGCCTCACTTTCTGATCCCCATCTCTGACCAGACCCCAGTGGGCTGCCCCTGGTAGCTGCGGGCTCCATTGACCTGTAGGACCCCAGCACTCTCTCTTCCCGAGGTTCAGACCCCATATGCTCCTCAGCCCTTTCCTTTTTCTTCGCTGCAGAGAATTTGGAAAAGTTGGAAACCATAAACTCTTCCAGAGATAACCAAAAGGTTTTGCAGTATTTTCTTCTGGTCTTGAAGTACAGTCCTTTATATTTTTGTCCTTGTACCTTCTTGGTTTTCCTCTTTTGTCTCGTTGTCTCCCCTGCAGCATTGCTGCACCACCCCCACCCACATACCTGAAGTGGCCTTGCTGATGCTTGTTAGGAAAGAGCAGCTGAGAATGAGGGGAGGCTCCTCCAATAGCTGCCTTGCCCACTGGAACACCCTCCCACCCAGTGACTTGCTGTGTGGTCACCACTGAGTGCACAGAAGGTCATCAGACAGAAGTGTAAGCATGTGAAACATTTAGATGTGTGCAATGGACGTTCAGCTTCACAAATAAGAAATGTCTGATGAAACTAGTCTGCTGTGGAGTGTCTGAAGGTCAGCGATTCTCACACAGTATGATAAGAGTCTGGAGTCTCCACATGAAAGACATGGCAACTCCATCAGGTCACGGCTGCAGTACCTCTGTGTCCAGGAGCATGCCCCACATGCCGGGTGCACATGTGAGAAGGGACATCAGCACAGGGAGGCAGCAGTGGGCTTTGGGGAGCTAGGGAGCTGAGGTAGAGGGGGGTGGGAGCCTGCTGTGTTTCCTTTTGTATGTCTTGAGTTTGGGGCTATAGGTATGGATTGTCTGTTGAAATGTACATTGGACCCTCGACTTACCAACTCAGTTCATTTGAGAGGGCTCGTTGTAACTCAAGTGGGTCAGTTGAAGGCTCAGACTCCTCTACACAGCCTTCAAGTCTCTCTCCCATATACAGGCAGCTCTCAGTGTCTTTAGAGAGACACTGGTCCAGGATTTCTCACTTAATCCCAGGTTAATTGAGGAAAAGATATTGTAATGTTCCTTCCACAACTCTTTAGGGGTTAAATCTGTGTCTGAGACCAACTGGAAGCACAGCAGCCAGCATTTGGGTTATAACTCAGACTTTGGTCATAAGTTAAAACTAAAATTCCAGTTGTAACCCAAGTTTTTTATGTCAGGCCAGTTGTAACTAAAGGGTCTGCTTCGCTGTACATGAAATAACGAAGACATCTTCCATAAATGGTCCCCTGGCATGATACTGCCAGAGGCAAGCTTGGAGCTACAAAGGGAACCTGAGGAGAAAGTCACTTGTCCATATGGGTCCCTCCCTGGAATGAGGTTGGGGTCCCATGCTCTGTAGGATCCACTCTGAAAAGGGGCATTAATACCCACTCTGTTTCCTTCCTTGCTAGAGGTGGTGACCACCGAGTGGAGCTCTACAAGGTAAGGACCGAAGTTCAGAGGTCAGTACGTGGGTCCTGAGGGACTGGAGCAAAGGAGAGTCACTAGCTGGCTGTGCCATGAGCAGGGGCTGGCTAGTCTGTCTTGAGGGGTGGCCTCCCAGTTCAGAGTGCATCCTGGTGGGCCATTTCCCAGACACTGAAAAGGACACGAACAGCATTTGAAAGTGTCCTTAAAGGCAATATTCCTTGTATATAAAAGGAGAAAACTGTGTGCTCTGGCAGCAGCCCTTGGTACCCAGGTGCAGGCTCACCTTGGGAGCCATGGTGGCTTGGCTCAGGTTCCAGGCAGACTTAATGGAGGTCCCCGCAGATCTGCCCTGGTACAAGAGACCCATCCTTGTGCCTGTTTTGTTCTTGAATGGGGTGTTGGGCCTTGGAGCTTTTGGTACAGCTTCCTGGGCCTCCTAAGCCTCCCTCCCTCTCCCCTTGAGGGCACCTACATCTGCTGTGGGAGAAAGGGGGAATCTGCAGATGCAGGGCCCATCTTTCTCCGCCATGGAAGGTTCCCACTAAGTAAATTAGATCAAGTCAGGAAAGTTGAGTGCCGGAGAAATGCTCAGTTCTCTTGGAATTCATGCTGTAGAAACGACTTGCTGTGTCCTGAGATAGGCCTGGAGCTGATCTGGGTGCAGGTTCTGCAGGGGGTGCCAGCATGCCAGGCAGGTGCTGCCAGCTCTCTCTGTAGTGAAGAGAGGCTATGGGCTGGTGGTGTGCAGCCTCCCATAATGCTTGGGGCGCTCCTCAGCCTGGGCACAGGGCACAGGTGTTTAAAAAATAATAGAAAAAATTTATCAAAAGCAAAACACTTGAGGGCTGCTGGACTGCTAAAGCAAGAAACCCTGTGGAATTCCCCAGCCAGGTCTGCTGTTGTGCTTGGTAGTTCAGCCTGCTAGCAACTCTGCAAGCTGTCTTCGCCCAGGAGGCCTGGGCACCTGCAGTGGGAGTGCAGTGCCGTCCAGAGACAGAGGAGCTGCTCCCGTCCCCCAGGGCCCTGAGCTGGTGCAGCTGCAGCAGCAGATGCAGTCAGAGCTGGACTATGTGTTGACAGTCTCTGTCAGGTCTCTGTCATGTCTCCCTGTGTTCAAGGCATAAGCCCAGAGCTCTGGGTGGGTGTCCCAAGAGGCCCCAGTCTAGAGATGCTTGGGTTTGTTGCCACACATATGTATTTTTCCCTTCACAGGTGCTGAGTACCCTTGGTTACCATGTGGTCACCTTTGACTATAGAGGTGAGATTTCTTTCAAGTACTCCCATTTCTCTCAGTCCCACCTGATAGATAGGCTTAGACTGAGGACCTTGAAGAAGCCTGCAACCTGCTTTTGCTCTGCTATGACCTGTGGCAATGGCCACTGTGTTGGACTGGGGAAGGGCTTGGGCATTCTGACAAAGCTCCTGGTAGTGGACATCCAGGAACCCCTCCTGGTAGGAAGGCCCTGGGGCTAGGACCCCAGCATTCCTCCATTTGTATGTAATAAATGCTGTCTTTTTTCTTTACTGAACTCAGACTTTTCCCCTCACCTGGGCTCAGGCACATTTTATGCCCAACAGTGGAGCTAGTCTTGCGAAGTGCTGAAAACAGGGAAAGAGCCATTGGGAAGGAAGACAGAGTCCTCTGTCCCACCCCCAGTTCTTCCTTCCTTTATTGAGTGGATCTGCTTTGGCTGTTGGGCAGGGCAGGAGCCCACAGTTCCACATGTCTGTAAACATTGTAGCTGGCAAGCAGCAGAAATACTTATAGCAACAGTGAGCCATGTCTTGTTTGTTTGTTCATTTGCTTTTTGAGAAAGGGGCTTACTGTGTAGTTCAGGGTGGCCTTGAACTCATGGCAATTCTCCTGCCTCAGCCCCCTGAGTGCTGGGATTACAGATGTGTGTCACCACACCTGGCAAGCCATGTCTTAGAGGAATATTCTTCCATGCCTCTCAGTCTTAGTGTTCAGGGTGGAAGGTTGCTTGGCCAGCTTGCTTTACCCCTCTGAGGGTACAGTGGTCTTGATGCCTCAGACCAAGATGTACAAAGAGGGATAGAGGAAAGAGGCTGCTGGCTGTATGTTGGGGTTGTATTAGTTTCTGTAACAGATGACCAGAAACATGGTATCTTATTTATTATCTTGTAATTCTTAGAGTCAGAAATCCAAAATCTAGCTGCTGAGGTAGAATAAAGGTGTGAGCAAGGATTTGATCCCTTGGTGTCTGGGGAGCATGTTACCTTGGCCTTTCCGGTGAGAGAGAACTCCTTGGCTCGAGGGCCCTTCCACACATGGACCCAGCTTTAGCACATTCAGTCTTGGGCTGCATTGCTCTGACCCCTTTTATTTGGTTTTAGAGTTTAAAACTCAGGCCTTGAACATGCTAGACAAGCACTCTAGCACTGGGCTATATTCCTAGCCCTGTTTTGAATTTTCGACAGGTCTTGCTATATTGCCCAGGCTAGCCTGACGTTTGTAATCCTGCTTCAGCCTCCTGAGCAAATGTGTGTATCACCACACCCAGCCCAGACACTAATTTTTGTCCTCTACTTCACTTATAAAGACCCTTGTAGTTTACTTGGGGAACATCCAGATGATCTGGATCATGCCTTCCTCTGGGTCAGCCCTTTTGTAGCCCTTGTCCCTCTGCCACCTTAATTCTCACAGAGTCTGGCATCCTCACCAGTTCTGGGATTAGAAGATGGGGCTCTTCAGGCCACCACCTTGCTTATCACAGGGATGGCTGTTTTGTTGGTGAAAATTCTGTCAGGATGAGTTGTGGCCCAGAAAAGCACTAAAATGAGCTGGAAAGTGACTCATCCTCTTGTCACTGTTTAGGGTCCCAGGAAGTTCCCAAAGCTAAGATAAGGAATCTAACCCACCCTACCTATAGAGTAGATGAGTAGGTTTGCAGGTTTGCTGACTACTGTCACTGAAAAAGAATTTTCAGGACTGGTTAGTAAGAGGCATGGGCAGGGCTTTATTAAGCAGAAATTCAAAAGTATGCACTCAAACAGTGCAGACCTATTTAGGCTTTTCATTTTTTGGTACTGGGGATCAAACTCAGGACCTTGCCCTTACCAGGTAGGCGTGGCACCACTGAGCTAAATCCCCAGCCCCAATTTAGGCTTTTCTTGAGTGGACACCCCAGGAGAAGGTGGTCCACCCTCAGAAGTGTACTGGCCCTATTACAGGTATTAGCCCAGTTTTGTTTTGTTTTAAGATGGATAATTTAAACATACTTTGGATTTTTTCAGCCTGTTCCTTTATCTTAATCAGGTTCCTGTTCTTTACTTTCACAGTTAGTCCAATTTATGAACATTCATTATTCCTGAGGAATTTTGGGTGTGATGGATCTAGAAGAAAAAGATCCTAAATTTAACCAAAGGAATGCTCATATGGAAACCTTGGGTGACTTTGACTGGGTTGCAGAAGTTGCAGTTTTCTTAAAAGTATAAAATTTTTTAGTTTTGATTTATTTATCTCATCTATCTTGTTTCTTCTATCCTGCCTCCTCCTTTACTCCATGCTGGGAAGGTCTTTTTCTTCCTGCTGTGAGCCACACATTAGCGTTATGAAGGGGCACTTTCTCTGTTTACTCCCTTTATGTGTACCCAGACAGGAAATCCTCACAGCATCTTCTTTTTTCCTTTCTTACCAAGTTTGTATTGCTAAGCAACATGAGAAGCCCAGCTCCACCTCTGTCTGTGTCCCTGTCTCCCTCTTCCTCTGTTTCTGTCCCAGTCTGGCTACCCCCTCCCTGTCTTTCTGTGAGTCTTTTTCTGTCACCATGTTCCTGTGCCCTTGTCTGCCACAGGTGTCCTGAGGCTTCACCATGTCTTGTCCTTCCTCATCCTCCCTTCTCTGGGGTCTCTGAGACTGAGGAGCAGCCTGTCCTGTCCTGTGCACTCACTGTGGGGTTTGCTTGTGCAGCAGAGCCAGCTCGAACCTTGTGGTGTTTTTAGATCATTTGATGATGACTCACTGCTGAGCTGCTAGAAAGACAGTTGCACATGACTTCTGCTGAGACTGCAGAAGGCTTGGGGCGGTCAGCACTGCCTTGAGCCTGGAAATATCCTCTTCTGTGGGTCCTGGAAAGGCTACATTCTCACTGGCTGGCCTGTTGGCTCCTTCCTGGCTGTCCCTACCAGGCCTCAGGGTCTTAGGTTCTGGGATTATTTCATCACCTCTGTTAGTCACTAGTCAGGTGTACAGTCCACCCCTTGGAGTACCCAGGAATGGCTGATTTGTCCAGTCCTTGGGGACAGAATCACCCCACGTCTTCTATCTTCTCCAGTGCTGGAGGGGAAGTGGAGTGCTACACATCAGTCTCTGCTGTAACTGGCCTGGTCCTGAATTGCCTTGAACTTCCTCTCCTGCTGATCCTCTTCTGCAGGTTGGGGTGACTCAGTAGGAACACCATCAGAGCGGGGCATGACCTACGATGCACTCCATGTTTTTGATTGGATCAAAGCAAGAAGTGGTGACAACCCCTTGTATATCTGGGGACATTCCCTGGGCACTGGGTAAGAGCCCTTGGCAACAGGTACCTTTGAGCAGGCCTCCTGAGTGACGCCCCTAACCCTGAGGGTACCTGCTGCCTCTGACCCTGGGGTGGGTCACTTCCTGCAGGGCTTGGCACCTGTCCAGTGGTGGGTATTGGGTATCACAAAGGAGGGCTATGGATCAGGCTACCATGAGCCCTTGTTCAAGGAGTGCCTAGGGACTGACATATGCATTGAGGTGGGTTGAGCATCAGGGTATGGAGACTGTGCCCCACGCAAAGGGGAAAGTACCCTTAGGCTTTGTGTCAGACCTGGCTTTGGAGCACCAGTGCAGGTCATTAGCCTATGGTACAGAGCAGGGACATTTGAAGGTAATTTTGCCCTGTCTGTCTATCAGCAACATGGTGGAGGAATGGGGGAGGGGGGTCCACTTCCCTTGCCTGCCATGGCATGAATTGTCTTAATGTCCCAGGCACAGGCAGCTTGGAGAGTTCTACTGATGGGACACCCAGGGTGGTTGTTAAAGCCCCCTCAATTCAGGGGCTGCACTGCTTCCTATCGCCTTTTCCTGTAGGCAGCAGTGTTGCTTTTCTCAGCTCTTGCTCCTTGCTTGGACAGCATCCTGCAAGCTGGGAGTATCTAGCCAGGACCCCTGCCTCTGGTGGGGGAGATGGGCCTTTGCCTAGGAGAGGCCCCTGTGGAGGGACACCGCCTGTCATTGTGACTGCAGGCACACAACCTGCCAGGTGCAGCCCTGGATGGATGGCAAGAGGCCCCTGTGCCTGGTGGGTGCCAAGTGCTGCCACCCCATCCTGGTGTCCTCCAGGTAGACCCCAACCTCCACCACCTGATCAGCAGCTCTGGAGCCCCTTGCCAGAATTATTTAGGACAAGTCTGGTCAAGATTCAACCGAACTGTATTTTGTTTTTGTTTCATCATTGTTTTATTTTAACCAAACTATTTTTCTTTCCTCCCAGAGTGGCGACAAATCTGGTGCGGCGGCTCTGTGAGCGAGGTAAGGAAGCAGCAATTACCAGTTACTGTCCAGGCCTTTGCACAGATGTCCTGTGGGCACTGGGGGCAGCAGCACAGTGTTAGGGTGAGCTGGGTATAGGAGGTCTCTCAGAGTCACCTGGGGCCCCCTGCCCCAGTCTGTTGTAGGCTTCTTTCCTATCTCCTAGGTCCCTCTGTTTTTTTTTCATTTACCTAGAGACACCTCCAGATGCCCTTATATTGGAATCTCCGTTCACTAATATTCGTGAAGAAGCAAAGAGCCATCCATTTTCAGTGGCAAGTATAGATTTTTTGAAAACTAATCCTCATTATTAAAATAATTAATATAAAAATAAGTCCCAGTAGACAATTCCATAATTATTATAAACAGTATAATTTATTCTAATGAATATAGATTTGCATGCCTTTTTTTTTTTTCTGTACTAGGGATCGAACTCAGGTCCTTGCGCTTGCGAAGCAGGTGGCGGAACCACTGAGCTAAATCCCCGGCATAAATACAGATTTTATTTAAAACAAATCTTGGTTCTAGACACTGTCCCATCTACAGAGCTTCCTGGGAAGTCTGTAACTTTACATCTAGCTAGGAGGGAGGCTCACCGAAGGCTGTGCAAGGGGAGCTGGCCGCACAGGAAGACTTGCTTGTGTGGCTCCCTCCCTGGGTGGAGCCAGGGGTGCCCCCTACTCTCTGGGTCCTGGATTTTCCTCAGGAGTCAGGCTCCTTCCCTTGGCAGTCTGACCTCCGGTCTCTCTCAGGTAAAGCCCAGGACACTGCCGGTGGGGGCTCCAGGCGAGCTGGCCCCACCTTGTCCTTTTGAAGCCTGGCTCTCATCTTCCAACTTGGGCCCCCAGCCTGCTCTATGTTTTGGGGCCTCTGTTTCATACAGGCCAGGAGCCCTTTACTTTGTCTTAATGTTTTGGTGTCGCTTTCCTCTGAAACTGTGTGAAGAAACCAGCCCTGGTCCTCCATTTCCCCAGGAGTGGGGCCCTTGTGTCTGCTGAGTGGTTTCTGAGCTGGATTCCAGCTGCAGCTCAGGGCAGCCCCAGCCACAAAGCTAGGACGCTGCCAGGGCAGGGGTGGCCCTGTGCTGCCTGTTCCCGCACACCTCTGGAAGGGGTGGTATGAGCAGCACCTTGTACAATCCTGAAATTAAATTCAGTGGTTGGCCTGCCTTCAGCCAAGGTACCTTAATTAGCACTTCTGAAAATGGCTTCCATCTTGTCTTCAGGTATATCGGTACTTTCCTGGGTTTGACTGGTTCTTCCTTGATCCTATCACAAGCAGTGGAATTAAATTTGCAAATGATGAGAAGTGAGTATCATGATTGAGCAACACAGCCTGGAGGATGAGCCCCTGTGTCAGTGGAGCCAGACAGGGTGGGGTGCGGGAGCAAACCCAGCTTTAAAAGGAGGAGTCTAGCAGAGACTCCTGTGATGAAAAGAAAGCGGGGGCTGGGGATTTAGCTCAGTGCTTCCGCCGCGTGCTCCGTAAGCCCAGGACCTGAGTTCGATCCCTGGTGCCAAAAAGGAAAACGGAACTTTAAAAAGTTAGAGCTATATTAAGATAACAGTTTTTTTGTAAACATAATTGACTTTTTTCCCAAATAGGCATCTAAGCTAGAATTCCTGGATAGGTGTTAAAACAGTAATTACTCAAAAAATGACTGTTAGGTTGGGTGTGTGGCACATGCCTGTGATCCCAGCCTCCAGAGGCTGAGACAGGAGGATACCAAGTTCAAGGCCAACGTAGACTGCACAGTGACTTTAAGCCCAGCCTGAACAACACAGTCAGAACTGATCTAAAAAAACAAACCGTGCTTCAGTCATTCAATATGTGTTTGATTACAGAAAGGTACTATAAAGTTTATTTAAAATATTGCTGTTAGTTTACCCAGTTAAGGACTCTTCAAACCATGCCAGATTTTACTGACATTGTCTTTGTGATATTTTATTTTATGGATTTTTAATTCCTCCAAAAAGAAGAAAATCTTTATGTAAATATTCAGTTAATATTTCACAATCTATACTTTGAATCATAAGCAAAAGCCCTGCTTGTTTTTAAGCATTACTGTTTGGGATCTTAAGATTATCTGAATAAACCAGATTTCTGCTTAACAAACAAAAGCGAGTGCTGGGGCCAGGAGGCTGCCTTGACCCAACCCCCAGGCCAGGCATTCCAGCGGCAGGGAGGCAGGGCCTCGGAAGCTGATGGGCAGTGTCTGCATGGGTCCTGCTGCTATTCTGGGACGCACAAGTCCAAGGGAGGAGAACATGAGGTCCGTGCTGCTGGCTGGACACCCAGGGGACAGTATGTCTGTGGTGAGCCCCCTCACCATGTCCTGATCCCTTGAGAGTACATAGCCCTGCTGGGACCAAGACAGATTCTGGCAGCTACCTCAGAGGCTGCGACAGCGGAACCTAGGCCCTCCCCAGCCTGGACCCTGTGCTGTTATGAGGCTCACTGAAGGGTCTAGATCCTCTATATCACAACAAGGGTAAATTAAGAGTACTGACTTTTTTAACCAACAGATTCATAGTAACATTCATTTGCAAGTGTTTTTTTTGGCCCACTTAAATTATCCAGTTTATAAGTACTTTGTAACTTTTTTCTCCTGCGTACTTGGGCCTCCCACATGCGAGGCAAGCATTGTACCATCCCATCAAGCTATATCCCTAGCCCTTTTGATTTTTTATTTTGAGACAAGGTCTCACAGAATTGCCCATTGTGACCTCAAATTTTAAATCCTCCTGCCTCAGTTTCTCAGTAGCTGGGATTGCACCACTATGCCTGGCTTGTTCTATAACATTTAAGGAATATGTTTTGGCGAGAGTAATCATTTTCACCTTTTAGAAAATATGCAAGGGCTAGATTTTGGGGAATGAATTACTCTGTAGATTTGATTGATACTTTTTACCTGTAGTAAAAAGAAACCCAGCATGGGAAGCAGACCCTGTACCCAGACCTGCCTCGGGTGAAGGGTCCAGGCAGGCACCTGCCCTCAGCCTGGGGCCCACCTCCCTCCCCCCTCCCGCAGTGTGAAGCACATCTCCTGCCCCTTGCTTATCCTGCACGCGGAGGATGACCCAGTTGTGCCCTTCCAGCTTGGCAGAAAGGTGAGCATCCTGGGCCAGTGTCAGCCCAGCTGGGGAGGGGTTTGGGTGGGCCGGGACATCTCCAGGCCTCTTGAGAATGTCACACAAAGGTGGTCTGGAAAGGGGCTGGGAGCCACGCTGCCTTTGCCAGACACAAGAGGAACCGTAAAAAAGAAGCACATCAGCAGGTGGTGTTCTGTATACCTGTAATCGTAGCACTGAGGCAGGAGGAAGGCAGGAGGATCCCAGTGAGTTGGAGGCCAGCTTAAACTACAAAGCAAGACCCTGCATCAAAAAACCAAACCAAAACAACAACAAAAAAAACAAGCCCCAACCCAATTGATGGGCCACCTCACAGAACCATAGCACACTGGAGCTAGGACAGTGCTCTCTGCTCCAGAGGTTGGTCTTCCTGGGAGGGGAGTCCAGACCCGCCCCCATCCCCATTTGTTGATGTCTGGGCTCTCACTGGTTTCTCTCCCTCCAGCTCTACAATATTGCTGCACCATCGCGAAGCTTCCGTGACTTTAAAGTCCAGTTTGTCCCCTTTCACTCTGACCTGGGCTACAGGCACAAGTACATCTATAAGAGCCCTGAGCTGCCACGGATCCTGAGGTGAGGCTCCAGCTCCTCCCCTGGGGACCTGGCCTAGGCAGCAGCATCACAACTAGGATGCAGCAGGTGCAGTGCTCAGGCTGCAGAGGGGTACTGAAGGGTGTGATACCAAGCCTTCCACTCCCACAGAGGGCAGAGAGTCTCACTGCATAGATGGGGCAGGTACTCTCCTGTGTTCAGGCCCACAAAAGCACCGACGGCCCCAGCTCTCACAGAACAATGGCCCTGCCACGGCCGTCTAGGCTGAGCCCCTCCTGCCAGCTTAGAGGCCGCTACCCTGTACCCAGAAGGAGGGCCCACCCTTCCAGCGCCCTTTGAAGGGAAGCTGAGTTCCTGACTGATCAGAATCTTGGGCAGACTGTAGGCTGCAGCCCAGAGCCAAGGGCACACAGCTGGGCCTGTTGCAGAGCAGAGCCCAAGCTGCCGAGGCCAGGGAGACCCAGTGGCTTGTGGAGCAGGACCCTGCCCCAGCCTCCCCACAGATGGCTGCTCAGATCACCTCCCTCCTGCTGGAACCACCCTCCTTGCTGCCACCGCCTCATACAGCCTCCTTGTGGGTGAGCCCAGTGAAGAAATGGGTCTCCATGTACTTATTCTGCAGGTGACAGATACTGGTGGCTGGAGCCCCCACCCCCCAGGAGGTTCCTCCCCTATGTTCTTCCTGTGCACAGCCTGAGTGCCCAGGGCAGAGCTGGGTCCACTGCGTTGCCCCTGCCCGGCTGAGGGTTGTGGAGCTGTGCTTTGGGGTCCTGGCTCGCCCTATTAAGAAAGGAACACTTAACGGCTTAGGTTCTCAAAAGGGACAGGAACCCAGCAGGGTCCTGCGTCCTCCCGGCTCACGGTCGCCCTCCTCTGGCCTAGGGAGTTCCTGGGGAAATCGGAACCTGACCTCCAGCACTGAGCCGCCGCCTCCCCACCCGAGGAGCATGAAGACCAGACTGCCACCTCCCCACCTTCCCCGGGCAGCAGCGGCTCGGGGACAAGGGACCCACGCTGGAGAGGGACCCACAGGGGTGTGGGCGGGGCCTTGAGCTGTCGCGGCATGGGCTCAAGGGGACGAGGATGCAGTGCTGCTGTCTTCCGCCCCGCGCGCAGGACGTACCTCGCTGCTCGGCCCTGTTGCTACCCGGCCCTGTTGCTACCCGGCGCTAGCCCTTGTGGGACCAGGTCTGCACTTCCCTGTCCCGCCTGCCTGTCCACCTAACCTGGCCATAGACTGAGCATTTAAGAATAAAATCGTGGTGGTCATCTGTCGTCCTCTGCTAAGCAAGGGGGTCAGGGACGACTCCAGCTGGGCAGGCGCCAGCACCCTGCTTGTGGCTCCTGTTCCACCAGTGTCAGGGCCTGCTTATGGCAGCGCCCCGCCTACATCAGGGCATGGCTAATGGATACCCCTGCCCCAGGATGGCCCTGCCTATAATTCAGTGATCTGCATCTACAACGAGGTAGGAAAGGAGGCTCTGAACGAAAGTTTATAGTTCCCCTTGCCTTCTAGGAGATGGCCTTTTCCTAAGAGGCAGCAGACCTGGACAGGCGATCCTTTGCAGGGCCAATGGACAGACCCCAGCTGCTCTGGCCACTGCTGGCATTTGCCCTGGGGTCGCCCACCAGCAGATCCCCAGTCAAGGAAAAGGGCTGAGACCTCCTAAAAACTGAAGCGGGATGGTGCCCTAGGAGGACAGGCTATGGGCAGTCTCAGGTGCAAGTCCTCCAAATTGGCCTCTCCTGGCTCTGGCGTCTGAGGTTTTTGGGCCCAGCAGTGCACCACTGGGGCCCCAACACCTCTTCCACTCCAGGGCCTATTAGGGGTACTTAGGGATGCTTAGATCTATTTGGTCTGTGCCAGGGGCCCTGGAGTCACTGAAATAATGGCTGTCCCCACTTGGGCCCAGCAGTGTTGCCTGTGAGTGCTATCCATTTTCTCATCCAGTCTTTTTTTTCCTTTTTGTATGTGTGAACTACCTCAGATCCTTCAGTGGAGGCACAGTGCAAGATAGAGAATATTTAGACTATCTGTGAATTTGAGCCAAGTGTCCCTAATTCAGTGCATCCAAACCTAAACTGGGTTTCAGATCATTGAACAAGTTCCAAAATCAATTTGTGGATGAGATGAGTTCTTTTTAAAACTGCTTTGGACCTGAGGTGTGAGCAATGTGCTGTCAGCTCCGTGGCCCCATGTCCCAGGGCCTCACAGACTGGGGGCATCAAGGACTCCACTGACAGCTGTGAGCAGCCAGCAGGCTGCAGGGCCAAGAAGTCCACAGTACCCCATTGTGCTGCCATTGGTCCCTCCTGATAAGTGCCTGCAGCTATAGACAATTAGGGAGACCAGTCTGGTTCACAGGGCCAGTAATGGGCAGGAGAGGCGGCAAAGTACATAGAGACACCAATACAATTTGCACTAGAAATGCAAATATTTACCCCAAATGAGAGCGTTCCCATGGGGCTAGACTTGACTTTTTAGTGAGCAAGTGGCAGTCTGGGAACACTGGGGATGAGTGCTAACTTTCCAGCTTTGATCCCAGAATAGTGGGACTCCCATAGGAACCTCAAAGCACTGTGTGCAATGAGACAGAAACCACACCTACCATCCACGGCAGAGGTTTAATCAGTTTCTCACAGGCGGCAGGAAGCATATGTGGAAGGGGTGTGGTCACGCATAGTGGGTCAGGGAGCACAGCCTCAACACCGAGCCATGGCACAGGCAGCAGGTGACTGTAGTCCACAGAAGACCCCAGTGGTTCTTGTGAAGCCCTTCCCAGCAGGCCCTGCAGGCCTGGGGGTGCAGAATAGCCTTCCCGAACCCAGCTCTAACATGCAGGGTGGTGGAGCCTCTGAAGAGTGATTCTACCTCATTTCTCCAACAACTCAACAGTAATGGTGACAGGCAGGGCTTTAGATTCTTCCCTGAAGCAGCCACCTCAGGAAGGGGGATTTTGCCCTTACTTCCGGGCTGGCTGCAGTGTGGGCAGAAGTGACCCCTCTGAGCCACCACCCATTTTGCAAACCAGGCTGCTACACTGTGGGGAGGGAGGAGAATGGAGCCTGGCCTTGGTGTGTATGTCAGGAAATGCACCTAGGCCCTGGAGCAGGACAGCTCTCTTCTGGGGATAGTGGTTGAGCCACCTCCAGGCAGGCAAAGACCCCCACACAGCCTTCCTTAGACAAACTGACTAACTGTTCAACAAGAGAAGGCTGTAGCTAGTTTCATTTCCTTGTGATCTTTTCCTCTGAAAAATAAAAGCTAACCCTTTATCAGCTAGATGTGTCCTGACTGAGGCCTCTGTGGAGGTCCCCCCTAAGCTGCTCCCAGTGAGTCCCAAGCACCCACATGGCACCATGGTGGCTGTGAAAGGCAGGGTGCACCTGGTCCTAGACCATGTGTCAGGTGCACAGCCCAGGATGGGACAGAGAATGGGCTGTTGTGAAGGTGATAGGTGGAGAAGCCCCTTCTAGTGGCCTGGGTGCTATGGAAAAATACAGGTCCCCAGGCTTCACCACAGCCACCTGCCCGGACCCCAGAATCAAGAGGCTCAAAACTAAAGACCTAAGGTCACAGCAATATTCTGTGCAAGGTTTGAAGGCATCTCTGCTTTCTGTCCACCCTGTGTGGGGCTGGCTGCGGCATCCACACCTAAAGCTCCACTTTCCTTACAAGAAACCAGGAGAGTGTCACAGGTTCTCCAGCACCTCCTTTCTTTGCTTGATCCTCAAAACCACCCCTTAGCCCCTCTGGGGAACACAGCATAGAGAAAAGCAGGGACCTCTGGCTGCTGGCAAGGTGCTTAAACGCTGGCATGATGTGCAAACTCAGCCCAACAAAAGCCCTTGGCCCCGCCTCAAGGGGCACCTAGTCCTTAGGGATGTTGGGGGGCGGGATTTGCAGATCAGAGGGCTCCACACCCCAGATGTCCCTCGCATACTCCGTGATGGTTCGGTCACTAGAGAACTTGCCCGAGCAAGCGATGTTCCTGATGACCTTCTTGGTCCACTCCTTGGGGTTCTGCGGAAAAAGCAGAGGCTGATTAGTCTTGGGTGCCCTGGAACTTCAGGACTGTCCCCAATGAGCTCTGAGCCATGGGGCAGTCTGGTGGAAGGAGGGGAACAACCATTGGATGAGAAAAGGGGTCCCATGGTCCATGGCCCTTTGGGACTAGAAAAGCTACTGAAGGACTAGGTATAAGGACAAATAGCCTAAGGAAGGTCCCAGCCCTTGAAAGCCTGTATTCCTTCCACAGGGCACAGTGCACAGCCCCAAGACAAACTCCATCAGAAAAGCATCAGCACATGTAGACCCAACATCTGTGGGATGGCCAAACAGCTTCCTTCACTAGGGCTTTCAATCCTTACTGCTTCCTCCAGGGCCGTGCAGTTGCCCTGGCCTCCAGCCAGTTCCAGGAGGGGCCTCTCAAAAGGGGAAAGCTCTGAGGCCAGTGGGCATTGTATGTGTGTGGGTGGGGTGGATCCTTCCAGAGCCCCACAGTGCAAAGACAAGGAGTGACAGGGCACAGTAGTGACTTACTAACGTCGTGGGTATTGGAATTCCAAGCCCCTCTGGCCCTGGCCAAAAACCTGCTTCCCTAACCTGGGAAATAGAGTCTGCCCCCAACCCCAGCCCTACCCCCATTCCTATAGCCACAGCCCACGAGCCTCACCTGGTACAGCTGCTCAACCTGCGCCTGGCACTGCAAGTAGGCTTCATAGTCTGCAAACACCTTGAACCTGAACAGGGACAGGACACTGAGCAGGTGACAGGCAACAGTAGCCCTGCCTAGGTGGCCTATTGTGTGGTCCCAGGGACAGTCCCACAGCCAGAGGCCACCACCCACCAGGCCCTGCCCCTTGTGAGGGCTGGGCTGCACCAGGTCTAGCCAGCCAGAGGGCTTCTCTGTGAGCAACACTCATGTCCTAATGAAGTCAAATTCTAACCTGGGATGCCACTAAGGAAAACACTATAACTGCAGAGCCCATAGGCTGTGGGGCTGCACAGGCCCAGGGCCCAGGCACTCTGTTGGAAGCCCCCATGTAGCCATCTCTTCTCAAGTCTGAGAACCAGTGATACAGGAAAAGTTTATCTGCAGTTCCTGATGTTCTGGGCTAAAATGCAGGAGTTACGAGTACAGAAATGTATTTCTGTTACTATTGCACCAGATGTGCAAGTTCACAAGTCACCACAGGCCTTGGCAGGGGCAACCTGGCCCAACTGAAGCCACAGGTGACCCAAAGGCAGAGGTAACCAGAAGGCATCAGCAGGACAGAGGTGAACTCAGCCCTGGCCAGAGCAGCTTTACCCACAGGGAGACACAAGTGATGTGGCCAGCCTGTCCTGTGACCAGAGATGACTCTGTTCTGACCACGTGAACTATACCACGTTGGCTATTAATTCCACTTGAACCCAGTGAGTCTCCTCCACCACCTTGCCAGTTCCTACTGCCTTGCCAGCTCCCTGAGCTCCCTCCCTCTTCTGGCCTCCTGAGAATATGGCTGCCTCAGGGACTCCCACCCACATGTGGGGCAAGGCTGTCTCCAAGGCCAAGTGCTGGACAGCACACTGACCTATCTCACTCTGCATGGTCTGCCCTTGCCATGGCCATGACTCTCCTGGCCTGACACAAGGTCTTGTGTGCTGAGGTGGAAGGGCTTCCCCTTCCAACCCACCATGTGGTCTGGGTCTGTCTCAGGGTAGAGGTGGGTATGGTGGGCTGCAGGGAGGGGCCGCACCTGTCATGGTTCATCAGCATGGTGACCACATCCTTGAAGCACTCTGGGTCCTTGGGGGAAAAGAAGCCGCTGCTGATCTGGTCCATGGCCTGCCTTAGCTCAGGCAGGCGCTCACAGTACTCTCTGGCATTGTACCTGTGGGGAGATGGGCCGCTCAGCACCTGTACCCCAGCAGTGACCCACAGCCAGGGCCTGTATAGGAGGAGCTGCCCTCAGGCAGGACCCTGGGACTCTGCCACAGAGACTGGCCCAGGAATCTGAGTGGTGGCTGGGAGGCAGCTGCTTCGTGCTTGTACAGGTTGCACCACTTGCCCAGGTATCCAGGCAGGTGCTGAGCTGGCCTAGCTGGGCTCCTCCCCATGTGCTCTGATGTGCAAAGACGACACACACCCTTTTCGGTCCAGGGCCTCGACCTCCTCCACCCGCAGGCCGAAGATGAAGAGGTTCTCAGTGCCTGCCTCCTCGGCCATCTCCACATTGGCACCATCCATAGTGCCAATGGTGAGTGCCCCGTTGAGCATGAACTTCATGTTGCCGGTGCCTGAGGCCTCGGTGCCTGCAGTGGAGATCTGCTGTGACAGGTCAGCGGCTGGGATCACTGTGGACAGGAGGCAGGTCAGCCTTTCTAGGAACCTTCCCCAACCCCAAGAGGAACCTGGTCCCATGCACAGCATTGTCCACCCTGACAGGAGAGGCACAGGCCTCCAGCCTACCTTTCTCAGCCAGGGACACCCGGTAGTTCTCTAGAAAGATCACTCGGAGCTTGTCACCCACAACTGGATCATGATTGACAACACTGCCGATGGACGTGACAAGCTTGATGATCATCTTGGCCATGTGGTAGCCAGGAGCTGCCTGCAGAGAGAGGCAGTCGAGGGCTTTCATGCGCAATGCTCTGCCCAGGACCAATAGGGCCATGTGGGTTGCTGCACCATGAAGGTAGACACCAGGCCGGACACAGACTCCTGGAAGCCAGTGGCAGTGTGGCTCTCGGAGCCAGGAGGCCTGGCTCCCACCCAGTGCTCAGTGGCTACCTCACCCGTGGGATCTGTTAGCTTCCAAAGACAACTCTGATTCCCATCAGTATTTCAGAAATTACCAGGTAAGAGAACATCAACTTACAGGAAATACAAACCCCAAAGAACTCATGAAAGCAGCCTGGGACAGTAAATGACCCAATTTCTAGAACAAATACATTGAAAAGAAAAAAAGGGAGGAAAGTCTATGATTAAAGAGAATTAAGAGGGCTGGGGATTTAGCTCAGTGGTTCCACTGCCTGCCTTGCAAGCGCAAGGACCCAAGTTTGAGCCCTGGTACCAAAAAAAAAAAAGAGAAGAGAAAGATCAGTTCAAGGAGGGCCCTCCTTGTCCTCCTGATTAAAAATATTAGTGGGAGGGCTGAGTGTGGTGGTGCACGCCTATAATCCCAGCACTCAGGAGGATGTGGCAGGAGAATTGCAAGTTCAAGGCCAGCTTGGACTACACAGTGAGACCCTGTCTCAAAAAAAAAAAGAAACCCCAGGGCTGGGGATTTAGCTCAGTGGTTCCGCTGCCTGCCTTGACAGTACAAGGTCCTCAGTTCAATTCCCAGTACCAAAAAAAAAAAAAACCCAAAAAACAAAACAAAACAAAAAACAGTGGGGCTGAGGGTGTGGCAAGTAGCAGTGCACTTGCCTTGAGTGTGTAATGCCCTTGGTTCATCCCTAGCACTGGAAGAAAGAAACTGTAACTTTAGCCAGGTGTTGTGGCACAGGCCTCTAGTCCCACCTACTGGGGAGGATGAGGTGGAAGCATCCCTAGGAGTCTTGAGCCCAGAATTTTGAAGCCAGCCTGGGCAACACAGCAAGGTCTCATCTAAATGAAAAAAACCTACTAGTACTTGTAGCTAGCTGAGACAGTGGGAGTGTGGTCCTTGAGAGTGGAGGGCCGCTCCTGACAGGATGCATTCTTGTCCACATTTTAGGTGTGATGGATGCATGGCCATGTGGTGATGTTTAGTAGGAGCCCAACAGCTCTGGTTCTGGAGGGATCATTCCAGACTCAGCCTGGAACCCACTTTCCCATCATTCAGTAGGAGTCTGGGGGGGCTGACAGTTTTTACAGCTCTTCGTGTTTCTCTTGGGTTACATTTGTTTTAATATTTTAAAAATTTTTGTATGGACTTTAGACACCAAGATACTAGCAAAACATCATGATGTCCAAAATGTGCTTCAAAAATGTAGCTGATGGTGGGCAGGGGCCAGATGGTGTGATGAGCAGACTGGAGTTGAGGACAGCCGGGACTGACCTACACAAGACCAGTGATGACGAACCTTTTAGAGCTTTCAGTCATACAAACAGCCCTCTGCGGATGCGTGCCCTAGGTTCGCCACAACTGCACTAGGCAGTCTGCAGAGGACCTGAGGCCATTCCCTCAGAGTTGCATCCAGCCTCCATGTGCTGACCAAGGCCAGGCCACGGGCTGAGCAGGACATGCCCAGCACCCTCCTGTTGAGGCAAATCCACACAGGACCCTGGCTTCCAAGCAGGCAGCCACCCACTGAGTGCACCCTGGGATCAGTACCAAAAAGAGGAGCTAAGGAAGTAACTTCACCTTGCCCCCGATCATCACAGTCCTGGGTACGAAGGCCTTAGCCGGGTCTTTCTTTATCCCTGCAGGCAAAGCAGAAGAGATTCACTTGAGGCAGTGGGATGACCCTAGGCTAAACCAACCAGGAGCCCAGAGCAGCCCTGGGGCTCTGGCAGGTGGTAGTAGTACATGGCCACGGTCTCACACCTGCCTAGGAACCTGCCACCTGGGGGCCGAGCCTGGCCCTCACTGTGCTCTGTTCCACAGCAGCCTGCCTGGTGTCCAGAGCCTCAGGGTCCTGGTGTCCCAAGGGGGCACCCTGAGCAGGGCTCCAGTCCTGGGCAGTAAGGAAACTTCAGGAGCTGGCTGGGCACGGCAGAGCCAGCACCACTACCAGGGGCGAAGGAAGCAAGGGCTGGGAGGGCCTTGAAGAGCCTGGGCAGTGTAGAAGCACTGAGAAGGCATGGCTCTGTTGGGCAGAGCCAACCTCCAGGGAAAGCTCACACCTTGGAGGACCACAGGCCTGAAACGCAGGACGTAAGGGTGAGGAGACGCAGGGAAGGAGATCTAAAGAGCCTCCACAAAAGCATGTGCAGGAGGTAGGCAGAAGAACCGAGGCAGAAGGACCTGGCACATGTCCCAAACACATCTCAGGGCTGGGTGCAGCTCAGCACCAGCACTTGCCTGGCACACTCGAGGCCCTGGGTGGTCCATCCCCAGCATGGGATAAAATGGGTGTGGTTCAAAAAAAACTTCTTGAAATAATGCAGCAGGTAGTCAGAAGTAGCCACAGTCAACACCAAGACCCAAGTGTAAGAATAAGCCACTAATATATCCAGAAATGACCAAGGCAGCTCCAGCCCTCAGGACAGGGGCACAGGGACCCAAAAGGTGCTGGAGGGAAGAGGGAAAGCCATGGCTGGCACCATTAGCCAGTGCTGTTATTCCTGAAGTTTCTAAAGTGCCTCCACTTTGAAACACTTTATTACATCACAAAACTCTAGAAACCTAGTTCTTTTCAAAGGTTTTGCTAATTCACTGAGCAAATGTTCACATTTACTTTTTTTTTTTTTTTTTGAGACATGGTTTCACCATGTAGTCCAGCCTGGCCTTGAACTCACTATTTAGTCCAGGTGGGTCTTGATCTCACGGTGATCTTCCTGACTTAGCCTTCAGAGTGCCGGGATTACAGGTGTGTGTCACTGTGCCTGGCTCTCACATTTACTTTAGGGGGTCTTTGATTCACATTTGCTCTCATAATTGTCAATAATACTTCATTGTCTCATAATACTCAAGATACATTATACATTCAACACATGTGATTCTCTCTAAGTACATTAAACGCCTCAACAAGCAAACCTTCCCAAACAAGGCAAATCACCAAGATCAACATAAAAGCTACACTGAACACAAAAACCAGCCTTGCAGTCCTGTGCTTTCACACCAGCACGTGCCCCCGTGTGTGCTACAGCATGCACACACATACACACGCGCACACATGTACACACATGCACACACCCAGCTCTACTGTGTGAGGTCAGGTCTGGGTGTGACTCACGGTTGTACAGGGTGATGATGTGCAGACAATTGAGCAGCTGACGCTTGTACTCATGAATACGCTTCACGTGCACGTCGAACATGGAAGAGGGGTTGATCTTCACCTTGTACTCCTTCTCCAGGAGGGCAGCGAACTTCAGCTTATTTTCCTGGGAGGAGCGGGGATGACAGCCATGCTGTTCACAGCTGCCTTGCGAGCTCTGAGGTCCCTGGATGCCCCATGGCCCACCCCGTCCTGGAGATACTCAGCCCTCAGCAACCACCAGGGACAGAGAGCAGGTCCAGGGATGGGAGCTGGCATCAGGGAGAAGGGGACAAGGGCACACTGGACAATGGTGGCAAAAGTAAAGGACCTGGAGCTGACCAGGAGGAGGAGAACAAGGGGGACTGGGGTGTGAGGCAGGGGCAGCAGGAGGAAGAGCATGAGGAGGCACAGGAAGAGAGAAGCAGTGCAAACCCTAGAACTGAGGGCAAGCTGCAGTGAGGTGGCTCTGCTGCTGTCCCAGAGCTGAAACTGCACCCCTCCCCATGGTCATGCTATGTGACCCCCTAGCTCTCTCCCAGGCCTGGGGGCTCCAGGGGCCTGGCCCTTCCTTATGTCCTTGGCTGCTCCCAGAGCAGAGCTGGAATTGTACAGCCAGCACATTTGCAACCTGATGAAGTCAGGCACAGGTCAGTGACCCCTTCTGGAAAGCTGACAGCCTGACCCTGGAGCCTAGGTCTCTCCATCCCTCTACCCATCCATCCCCCTAGTGCCGAGAAGCCCACCTGCTTGACCTGGGCCACATCCCTGATGAAGGCTTCATCGCTGACCAGTGGTAGCAGCTTCCGCAGCTGGCTGAGGTCTGTGAGGAAGCTCTCCCCGATTCTCTGGGGGAGGAAGGAGACTCTGTTCACTGCAGCCCAGCTTCTACCTGCACCCAAGCCTCTGCCCCACCTGGGATCTGCCCACCTCTCAGACCCTCCAGACAGGGCTCCTCCTGCACAGCCCTGACAGACGCCCCCGGCTCCCTCAGTCCCTGCTCCCTGCTCCCAGACCGACCCCCCAGGCTCTCCCACCACAGTCCACGTCCCCAAGCCAGTGTCTCCTTGGGAATCCCCTACTGCAGCCGCCAGCCTAACTCCACTTAGTCTTGTCCCACAGGATGCACCTGGCCCTCTCTGACCTGGGCTGGCCTGGCCTCCCTATGGCACTTCAGAGCCACCCCTGTCTTATGACCTCACCCAGCATGGCCAAATCCCTCTTCATCAGCCTGGTGGGCTCTGAGCTCCATCCCAGGTCACTGCTAGTCACGTGAAGACCCAGCTTCCTTGCCCCAGGACCCAGGCTGGGCCACTTACCTCCACAAAGATGTCCGCCAGCCCTGGGTTGCACAGCAGCAGCCACCGGCGGGGGGTGATGCCGTTGGTCTTGTTCTGGAACTTCTCTGGCTCCAGCTCATAGAAATCCTTGAAGCTACAAACACAGATAGCACGGAACTATCAGAAACACCATGTTTCAAACCAGGTGAGCCAGAGAACACAGGGCCTTTCCAAAAAATCCCTGGGGGTGTGGAGACTCAGTGGGAAAAGCAATTCGCACACAGCACTCTTCAGCTGCCTCCCAACCCCCACGTGAGGACACAGCTGTCTCCAGAGTCGATGGACACATAGCCAGGCCACAACGCTGAACACTTCACAGGCTTCAGACCTGAGGCCCTGGGCTGTTTCCTCAGCTATGATTTGGGAAAAATCCCAAGTCTGCTGTGGAGAGCATGGAGCCCTGGGTCCAGCCTGGAGCAGAGAGCTGTCAGCCAGGACTAATGGGGCTAAGGCCTTCAGCAGCCTTGCTAGGTGAGAGAAGGGAAGGGAGGAATCCTCAGTCTCCAACCAGCCTGATCACTGCCTGCCCAGCCCATATACATCCAGCCCTGGCCCTAGGTAGGTGCTTGGCCAGTGGGTGGACTGGGGGTCATGAGCTCCGCTGGATGCCCCAGCAGGCATCTGGGGATGCCGGGGTAACCACTTCTCCCATCACCACCCACTCAGGTGTGAGCATGGGGTGGACCTCCGATGGCAGCCAGGTGGAAGGGGTGGCAGTGGGTGCCTCACGCACACAGATTGCTTCACAATCTCAGAGTGGATTCGTGCCACGCCGTTCACCGCATGCGACCCGATCACACACAGGTGGGCCATGTTGATCCGCTTGCAGTCACCCTCCTCGATCACGGACATCCTCCGAAGGCGGTCCACGTCCCCAGGAAACAGGGCGGCCACGTGCTAGAGAGCAGAGAGGGAGGAGGGTGGGGCTGAGATCCACGGTGCCTACAGAGCCCCCAGGACCAGGACAGCTGCCATGCCCAAGGGACAGAGTCCTGCTTTAGGCCTTGACCTGGGTCCTGGCCCAGGCCCTGGCACTGGGACTCAGCAGGCAGGGATGAACCATCTGGTTACACAAAGGATATGGGGCTCCCCACCCTGAACACAGTGGAACAAGCTGTGCCCAGGGCACCACACGTGCACACACACACACACCACACAGGCGCAAGAGTCATCCCTGGACCCTGTGCCCTGTAGGTAACAGAGGAAGGACAAACAGGGTTGCCAGGTAAGACTCGAGGTCTACAGCCTGCTCAGGAATAAGGGCAGGGTCAGGCATGGGGCAACAAAGTGCCGCTCTGCCCACTGCTGCACTGTCACCTGGTGGGACCCGCAGCCACCCTGCCAGGCTGATGCTCACATCCAGGTGCTGCTGGTTGATGGCATAGATGATGTCTAGGTGCCGTGGCAGCAGCTTCTCAAACAGTGACACTGGCCAGCGCTCCAAAGCCTCAGGCAGCACCGTGTGGTTGGTGTACGCGCAGGTCTTCTTGGTAATCTCCCAGGCCTGGTGGTTGGAGAGAAGCGCGTTTACATGGTGACATTCAGTCCTGCAGATCCCCTCCCTGTGCCAACCTGCGCCCAAGGATCACCTGCCCTGTTTTCCTCCTTGTAAACAGTTTTTACTGACAAATTAACAGACCACTGAGCAGTCATCCATTGGCCAGGGCCAAAGGACTCTATGACAGGGCCACATACACCTCAAGACCAGAGAAGGAACTGTGATCTCCACAAGGTAGAATAAGAAACTGTTTTATAGCTGGGCTGGGTGGTAAATGCCTGTGAATCCAGCTACTCAGGAGGATGAGGTAGGAGGATCACAAGTTTGAATCTAGCCCATGCAACTTAGTAGGACCCTGTCACATAATTAAAAAAAAAAATACACGGGGACGTAGTTGAGTGCAAAGGTCCTAGGTCCAATCTCTAGTACAGGGGGAAAATGCTTTATAGGCTGACTTTGTTAAATCTAAAAATCCCAATACACTCAAGAATCTAGGACCAAAGTAAATTGAGCAAGAAAAATCTGTTAAAAACTACATATTTCTTTAAACTTAACATTTTTGGATTTCTTCACTAAACTTCAAGATGAGAAAACATACACAAGAAGCCCTAAAAAGTACCAGAATCTAGGGCTGGGGATGTAGCACAGTGGCACCAGGCCTGCCTCGCAAGCACAAGGTCCTAAGTTCAATCCCTGGTACCAGGGGGAAAAAAAAGGTACCAGAATCTTGTCCCTGTCCCTTCTCACCCCTGCACTCTTGTCCCCTCTGTGTCACGGTCCCACAGAATGTCTGTCCATTCCCTGGAACCGCCCCAAGGCCTGGCACTCTCAGGGCTGATGTCCCCAGATCTCCTGAGGGAAGAGGGGACCCCCTTCTCAGAACTTCTGAGCCATTCATGTGGCTGGCTTGGACTCCACAGAGGGCAGGCCCCAATCTTGGTCCCTGGAAGACACCATCCCCCCAACTCTGGCTCCTGGAGGATGACATCACCCCATCCTGGGCCAGGCAGGACACAGCCTCTCCTCTTCCTTCTGCTCACCTTGTCCCAATCCACCTTCTCCACGTCCACCAGGATCCTTATGAGCTCAGGGATGGAGAGGGCTGGGTGGGTGTCGTTCAGCTGGATGGCCACCTGCAGGTCACACAGGGCCACTCAGTGGTCTCATTCCTTGTGGGTGCCTAGGGTGCTGAGTGTGCACAGTGCCCGGTGTGAAGGAGCTGCGCAGCCTGTCCTGAGGAGGCTGAGGCCCTCCAGGGCTCCAGGAGGGAAGCAGGAGGATGCCGCAGCCAGCTGTGCCCTGGGCAGGTGTGCAAGGAGCTACTTGTCTGGGCCGCCCCACAGGAATGTCCCCTCTCCTACAATGAGGCAGCTCTGTTTGAATGGACTGCGCTCGGCTTCACCTTAGGAGCTGTCAGTCCTTCCTACCTGAATGATGCCCATGGTCCTGAGCTTGAAGGGTGGCCCGGAGAAGACCCCTAGGCGAAGGGTCCCTGCCACCCCATGCCAGGCCCTCCTGGACATGGGAAGTGCCTGAGGCCAGCCCACCCCCTCGGCCCACATACCTTGTCCGGGAAGGTCTCAAAACTGGTTCTCACAGGGTCACGGCAGCCGAACTTGGAGGACTTAAAGCGACGGATGATGTCCTGCAGTGTGGCAGCCACCACAAAGTACTCCTGCTTCAGCCGCAGCTCCTTCCCCTCGAAGAACTGCAGACACAGGGCTACTGAGCATGAGCTCGGGGATGGAGAGGCTGGGGGGGTGGTGTCATTCAGTGAGGAGCAAGGGGTCCTGAGCAGCCCGCCTGCTCTGATCCTGGGCCATTGCATTCCCTCAGGAGACCTGGGTCAGGTGTCACTCAGGGTTACAGGCCGAGGTTGCAAGCAGTCTCACCCAGCTGCCCACCACCAGCAGCACTCAGCCATCTTCTGACAGAAGAGCAAACACAGCCCAGTGCCCCTTGCCTGTGCGACAAACACCACAGCACATGGTGCCAGGTCCCTCAGCAGCCAGGGCACCTGAGCCATGCGATGGACACAACGTCTGAGCACAGCATCCCTTGCACCCACAGGCCGGGGTGCCTGGTGCCTGAGCCAGCAGCACCAGTGCCTTTGCTGCCATGCACAAATCATGGTGACAGAGTGGGATGAGCACTTCCGAAAACACAGAGCCACCAGGACAGGCAAGCTTTGAGGACTCTGCTTGCTGGCCCTCTGTATGGCAACAAGAAGCCACCAGACATCAAGTCCACTATGCACAAGGGGCAGCAGAGTCCAGCTGTGGCCATTGGTGAGCACATGGAGTGTGCTGAGACCTCCCAGGTGTCACAAAGTGCTGTGTCCCCACAGGACCGATGGGCCTAAGGTCACCCCAAGGAGTGACCCAGCCTGGCCCGGGGCCTGGAGCTCCACCCACACCTCTCCCTTGAAGATTCAGGAGTCAAGGGAGATAGGGCAAGGCAGGATCAGTGGGGGAAATGCACCTCCTCTCCCTGCACTCAGACAGGAGGACACCTGGCCTCCCCTCCCAGCCATGTGAGGTTGGCCAAGCCTCCACCCTCTAGTCCTCTGCAGGAACAGGCTGGCTGGCTGACGTGGTCAGTCTCAGGAGCTACTCACATTGTCATTGGGGTACAGCACCCTGGAGATGTTCTCTGCCAGGTTCCGGTCCAGGACAGCCTGGATATAGTCCCCCACGTTGACTGTGGAGAGACAGGGGGAGGCAGTGACCCCTCCAGGTTCCCAGAGCTTTGGCTGAGGCAGCAAAGCAGCAGAGCCACCATCCTACCCTGCAGGCCCCTTGCTCTTCCCTTGGGACCTGGCAGCCACAGTGCTACACTCATGCCCCTCTTGCCCACTCTCAAGGGAAGCATGGGCTTAGCATCAGAGACCCCAGGGGCTGCTCAGCTCTCTGTAGAGAATGGCATGGTGGGAGTGGTGGGCACCAGTGCCTGGGGCCAGCTACCAGACAGGAGTGGGTGTGGCTGGACGTACAGTCCTGCAGTTTGAAGTCGCTGGGTGCCTTGGCGGACCAGAGCCTCATGGTGTTGACGGTGTTGTTCTTGTAGCCAGGCACTGGGGTGTCATAGGGCATGGCCAGCACCACCTGGCCACAGGGACACATACACAGCACAGTCAGCAGGGACCTCTCCATCCACCCCACCCGGCCATCTGCCCACACCAGGTGCCACAGGTGAGGGGCACAGGCAGCCCTGCAGCAGCCCAGCTGTCCTGCCCTCCCCACCACTGCTTGAGGGGTGGGCTCTATGTAGGACCTGGCCTTCTGCACCAGCCAAGGGCCTCAGCTCTGACACCATGGGTACCAGCACCACCACCGTGGCACTTCCCTTCCCATGTCCTGTCTACCCTTGACCTGCTCCATGAGCTCGTCCTCAGGGGGACAGTCCTCCCTTACAGTCCCCGGCACCCTGACCCTCATCTTCAGACACACACAGGAACACAAGGTCCCTGCTCTGCTACTCAGGTCAAACACAGCTCAAGCTTAGCCTCTGTGCTGCGTGCTGCAAGCCAGGGACCATGGAGTTAGCATTGTGGTGTCACAGCAGAGGACGCCTGATACTAGTCACAGCCCACACGGGCTCCCCAGTGGCATGGAGCGGCCACCAGCTGTGCGTGGTGGCTTCTGCACTGGGGACATCTGCCAAGGTGCACCAACTGGACAGGTGAGGAGAGTAAACTCAGGCCCTGGGCTCCATACCTGCGTGTCCAGCCACCGCACACCCTCCGCCGTGTGCTCCACACGCCCATAGAAGTGCACAGGCAGCATGTACTCGGGCCGGGCCTTCTCCCAGGGGTTCCCATAGCGCAGCCAGTCGTCTGCCTCCTCCACCTGGGGCAGAGAGAGGGCCTGAGATCAAACAGCATCCAGCGCAGGACAGGACCAGGCCTGCTTACCAGGCTTCCTATGCCAGCCAAGCCAGTCTGATGGGAAATGAACATTCTGGGCCCAGGACTCCAGGAGACTGAGGCAAGAGGTTTGCAAGTTCCAGCCTAACCTGGACAACTTAGGGACTTAGCAAGGTTGTATCTCAAAATTAAAGAAGCTGGGGACATAGCTCACTGTGAAGGCCCTGTATTTAATCCCCTGTACTGAAAAAAAAAAAAGGCTCTACGCCACTAGAGCAATAACCAGGCTAGGGGCTGGGGATTTAGCTCGGTGGTTTCGCCGCCTGCTGTGCAAGCGTGAGGACCTGAGTTCGATTCCTGGTACTAAAAAAAAAAAAAAATAACCAGGCATGAAATTCAGAAGAAAGCATCCAAACAGACATAAAGGACCACCTGAGTGAAGTACTAAAGAGGCTACAACATGAATGTATGTGGAGGTCAGGCTCAGGAGCGAGTGGCCAGGGGCCAGCAGGAGTGGCTCAGTGCAGGGCTTTCTCTTTCTGGGTGTGCAGGTGTTCTAGAGATGGACAGTGCAGTTCTGTACTACTCTCCACCTCAGATGAGCTGTTACTACAAAAACAAAACAAAAGAAACCACAGGAAAGAATCACTGAAGCCCACTGCTTTGAAAATGATACCATAGTGGGATGTGACTGAGAGATACAGTGTGTGCTTAGCATGTGCTCCAACACACATAGACATGCACATGTACACACACTCAAAAGAGAAAATGATACTGCAAACCCATGAATGCTAGGGTTGGCACTCACAGGAGCCAGGACAGTGCTGAATACACTGCTCCCAGCCAGGCCCTCCCCTCACAGCTGCCACAGAACAGTGCCCATGCCATCCAGATCAGTAGAAATATGTAAACCCACCCCCTTCCCCTAGCCAATTTCACCACAGACATTACATGCAATGAGAAGTGAGCTGGACATCCTACCATCAAGCCTGACAACTGTGCACAGTCACTGGACCCAAAGCCATTGATACGGCCCCTCCATCAACAATCACTTCTTACCAGACCTGCTGCTACATGTGACATTTAGGGACTAAATGATATTACAAAGTTTTCACCACCAAGTGGAACAGGAGTGACATCCATGCTCAAATGCCATGTCTGCCGTACCCCAGAACAGTGAGACTGGCATAAAGACCATGTGTGTGCTTCCTGCAACACCAGGCCCTCACTGCCACATGGTCCTGACCACATGGACACCTGGGCCTCCTCCTCACATCGTTTTCATACCTCATCTGGCCTCAGTTTAATGCTTTGACATCGTAGCTGACTCCCCCAACATCATGTTCCTTGGGAGTCCAGCCTCTGGCCATACGGGAAGCTGCTGCTCCCTCATGTCGGGGAGCAAAGGCCAAAGGTGGGGACCAAAGTACCATCACTGCCCCTCTAGCTACTCAATGGTCCCAAGTTTGGGCTCCAGAGCACAGCCTGCACCCAATGTGACACCCAGGAAGCCAGCATGCACCTCAGGCATCCTGTACCCAACTGGGGTCTTGGTCAGGCCCTGCTGGGCTTATGTCCACCCTCCCACACTTCTCATTACTCCCGGGGCTGTCTGCCAAGGGATCCCCCAGGACTGGCCTGGCTGAGCCACATTGAGGAAGGGCACACCAGCTGGCTTCTAAGAGCTGCATACCCTGAGGCCCAGTGTCACCTACCTGCCAGCCATCGACGATCTTCTGGTTGAAAATCCCAAACTCGTAGCGGATCCCATAGCCATATGCTGCCAGACCCAGGGTGGCCATTGAATCAAGGAAACAGGCTGAAAAAACGCAACCACAGATCACAGACGATCAGCACAGGCAGGCCAGAGGCTGCTGGTTCCTTGGAGGGGATGGTGTGGTGCGGCCAGAACACAGGCCACGAGAAGGACGCCACAGGGCTAATCAGGGGACACTGGGCCATGGTGGAATCTAGGAGGCTGAGCTTCCCTCCACTTAGGAAACCGGGGTCCACACAAGGACAGAGCAGGAAGCTGGTGACAGCCTAGCCCCATCAGGGATAAAGGACGAGGTCTTGTGGGGGGTCACCTAGTCTTCTGGAGGAGGGTGTGAGGGACATGTGGGTGATGGGGGCAGGCAGGAGAAGGGCTTTCTTTACTTAGATCCATGTGTTTTAAAAGAACATGTTGCATTTAGAATTCTTGAAGAATTTAAGACTGAAAATGTAAACATCCCGAGTCCATACCCAGCAACCCTCCATAGGGTTGGGATCCAAGCAAGGGGCAGACCGTCCCGGATGTCCCCATACACATTTACAAACTCAAACCACAATGTCTCCACATCCTTTCCCACACTCCCTCCACCTGGACAGTCAGCAAGAAGGATTAAAGCGGAAAAAACAAGCAGCTCTCTGACATGCTGTGCTCACAGGCCCAGGGCTCTCTGCTGACTTCAGGGAAGCCATAGCTGCACCCTGCATGTGGGCCACACCCTCAGTCACATCGTCCCTCAGTCCTGCACCCATGCCCTGGCTGTGGGATCCTGGAATGTGGTTGGCATCCCAGGCTCCTTCCCAGCACCAGCGTCCCCAGCCCTGGGCAGCTCGGTCTCCACGGCAACTATGAGACCTGAAGAACACACTTGGCACCAGCTCTGAGGGAGGCCTGCATCCCCATAGCCAGGGCTCTGTGTGACCCTCACCGGCTGGTGGCAGAGCCTGTCCCAGAGCAGTGCAGTTACCTGCCAGGCGCCCCAGGCCTCCGTTCCCCAGGCCGGCGTCCTCTTCTATCTCCTCCAGCTCTTCCAAGTCCAGCCCCAGCTTCGGACACAAAGGCAACATCTTAACAGCACTGTCCCCGACAATAGGCTGAGATGTTTAAATCTCATGAACTTATAGTAAAAGCAAGAGCCTACTTCTCTTAGCCTTGAAAATCCAGTGTTAAAACCTGATGTAAAAATAAAAACAAAAAAACCCCAAATCACAGCTTTTGCTGTCTCCTTTGCCAGATGTCTGTCTCTCTAAAAAATATTTTTCAGAAAAGAAAGTTAAAAAAGACACAGAAACTAGCTAACTGGGAAAAAACCACACTGTGGAAGTGGGCTTCCAAGCTGGAGCAAGAAGAGCAGGATAACAAACACAGTTGCTGTGCTTCCATCACTGAGCGATGGCCCACAGGCCACAAACTTCACCCCCTGAAAGTGCGCAGAGTCCTGTGACCCCATGCTCTCTGGTCTGTAGCAGGTCGCCTGCTGTGTAAACAGACAAGCCCATGCCTGGCCATCAGCAACACTGTGGTGTCGGCTCTGTCTGGGATGCAGCACAGATGGGCAAGGCATTAGGGTGGATTTGGTCCTGGGGACCACGCTTAGCCCCGCCCTGCTGCTGTCACTGCATAGTGCGCTGCCCATCCAGTTACTGACTGATGAACATCTGCATTCTTTCCACATGGGGCTCGTGAATAACACAGCTGTGAAACCTGGCACAGGTTTTCTGTAGCTCACACCTAGGAGTGGAACTGCAGGCCACACGATCATTCCAAGCCTATAGCAGACATCCCTGCGCAGTACTAGCGGGCTATGAGTTTCACATGCTTCTTGCCTCCCTTAATTTGGCTATTTGTTTATATGAGGAGTCAGACCAAAGGCTTACGTGATTCAAATGGGCATGTCAGGCAGCAGAGTTGGGCTAGTATTGCTCCTTTGCTAATGGCTGTCACCAAGGCCTAAGTCCTGGTCTGTGAAGTGGCAGGGCTCTGCTGAGTTATGTGCAGCTGAGGTCAGTGTGACCCCAATTAAAATCCTTTCCCCTGAATTATGGCTTCTCACTGACCTGATGGGTTGCTTGCTAATTGCACCAAGTTCCAGTACTGGTTTATTCTACCCAAGCAAGATAAGCAGCGCTTACTCCCTAAAAGCCTACCTGGTGCCATCCTGCCAGGTGTTCAGCAGTATTTCACTAGATACCTTTTAAGCATAGCCAGCTCCCTATTCCTTCCCACAGCTGTATTCAATAATACTGGATGCATTTAGGGACCTTTGTCTTTGCTGCCATCAGCAGCACCGATAATGCCCCAAGACTCAGCCTCTCCACTCAAAGTCTCATTTCCTGTCTATTTTTAAATTCACCTAGTGCTGTAGTGGCTCATAGGAGGCCAAGATACACAGCAGAGGTTCTGGCAACATCACCTTCCCCGTTCCCTATACAAGCCTAACTTGCTGAGTACCTGCAGATGATCTTCCAAAGCTAGCTCCAGCCTCTCTGTCCTCACCCTCACCCACCCTATGCACCCTTCATGATCGCAGCCCTTAGTGGGCATGTGCAGCTCTGACTACAACTGTGACCCCCATGTTTCTAGTAACTAACAAGGGCAAGCATCTTTCCGTGTGCCACCTGGGCACTGTGTGTCTTTAGGGAAATGTCTGTTCAAGTCCTTTGTGTCCCCTGCCCCTATCCCAGCTACTGGGAATTGAACCCAGGGTCTTCACACAGAGCTACATCCCCTTCTTCAGTTTTTGAGATATGGTTTCTATTACGGCTTGTGTCTAGATGTCTCCCAAGGCCTCATGTTGTCATAGGGTCTTTTTCAGAGGTGGCTGGATCTAGAGGGTGTGATGCTGGAAGTGATTCATGGTGCAATGCTAGGATAAAAGGCACTAGGATTAAGGGTGTGAGTGTTACCCTCCTAAATAGCCTGGATAAGATAAGAGGCACAGGGCCTGGGATTTAGCTCAGTTTTTCCAGCTGCCACAAGCTTGAAGGAGTTCAATCCCGGTACCAAAAAAAAAAAAAAAGACAAGAGGCACAAAGACTGATGTTAAGGTACCTTGCTTGTTTTGCTGCCTTCTGCCCACCATGAACTGTTTCTCCCCTGCTATGCCACCCTGCCTTGGAGCCAGTTGATTATGGACTGAAACCTCTACAAACTGTGAGCTAAACAAACCTTTCCTCCTTTAACTTTAGGTGTCAGGTATTTTGTCTCAGCAACAAGAAAACTAAGACAGTTTCACTAAATTGCCCAAGTGGGACTCGAACTTGTAATCCTCCCACCTCAGCCTTGCTCAGTGCTAGATTACAGGAGTGTGCCACCATGCTCGGGCCCTTTGTCCATTTTTAAAGTGGATTGTCTGTCTTGTTATTGTTGAGTTATGGGCTACTTCTACATACTGGACACCAGACCCACATCAGACTCCTGTCTGGCCCGTTTTGGAGGCAGGATCTGCAAAGACCCAGGCTAGGAAGGAATTTCTATCTGTGGCACAGGGGCTATGACAGTGTGACTGTCCCTATCTTCTGAAGATGCTTGTTGAAAACCAGTGCTGCCCAGTTCTGGCTCAAGTAACGAGGATGCCGGGACAGTGGTGCTGGGGAGGCCAGCAATGGCACAGGAAGTGACTTTCCCAGCTGCCCCTCATGAGTGAGGAGCCAATGCTCATGGTGGGAGGCTGCTGGGCAACCGGCTTGCTGGTGTGCGGCACCCATCTTCCTCCTCACATGCTGTCAGCAATGGTGGGAAGCTGTCACCACTTCCTCCCCAGCACTGCCCCCCCATGCCCAGGGGGCCCGGCCAAAGGAGGCTGAGACTGTGACAGCCCAGTCCTCAGGTAAAACTATCAGCTGCATCACCACCTGCCTTGCAAGCACAAGGTGCTGAGTTCGATCCCCGGTACAAAAAAAAAAAACAACCAAAAAACTCTCAGCTGCAAGGGTAACCAGCTAAACTGCGAGTGAAGTAACTTTTAAGAGAAAAATGTGCAAAGTTTTTTTGTTTTTGTTTTTTTCTCGGTACCAGGGATCGAACTCAGGTCCTTGCCCTTGTGCAGCAGGTGGCAAAACCACTGAGCTAAATCCCTGGCCCCTGTGCGAAGTTTAACGGGTACACACTCACCTGCACTTTCCTGGTTTCTGTAATTAACATGTTGTGTGATAAAATCATAAACAAATATTGTACACAGTCCCCAAATCCTTGTTATGTGTAAGAACTATGTAAGAGAAGGTTTCAAAAAATAAGCACTTCCTTCGGCTAAGAAATCCACACAAGGTATGCACGTTCCTCACTCCCCACAGACACAGCCTGGTGTTAGTGTCCAGGGACAGGACTAACAACAGTCACCTCTGGTAACCTCAGAGTCACCTCATTTTAAGCACAAAATCCCATGCCGGGGAGTGCGGTCTTGGGCTTTTGTGGCACGAACTGAAATCTCAAGCTACAGAATTACTATTGACGGAGCCTGGGGGAGACCCTGGAGGAGATGGGGTCCCCAAGGCCAAGTCACCTCATGGCCATGCTGGTCTTGTGTCCCCAAAGCCCCCCCCCAGTGCCCTTCCACCAACCCAAACCACCGAGAGGAAGGCAGGGCAGGGCACAAGGCTACAGGGAGGTGGCAGGGTCACCAGAACCCCTCTGCCAGGCCCAGCAAATGGGATAAGGCAGGAGGAGAGGGCCTAGCTGGGAGAGACCAAGCACCCAAAGCCCTGAGGTGGGGCCAGGGCTCAGCTTGGACCAGAGCAGCACTGCAACCTCCAGGCCCAGTCCCCTGGAGGGGACAGAGGGAGGGGATGGCTCCACCACACAGGAGATATGGTGTGGTCTAAACCTGCCCTGGGAGAGGTATGCTGGTCACTGGTCCCTCTCAGCGCTCGCTGTGCCCAAGGAGGAGCAGCACCACACACAAGCTCCTCCCAACCACAGGACATGCCCCCACCACATTGGGTGGCACATCCCAATGTCACCCATGTCCCAAGAGCCACCTGGAAGTGGCCTCCAGGCCTGTACCTGATAGATGGCTTCATCACACGCGTTCTGGAGGCCCAAGTTCACCATGGTGTTCTGAAGCGTGCGGCCCATGTAGAACTCCAGGGAAAGGTAGTAGATGCGCTGCAAAGGAGACAGAGACTCAGACTTCACGTCCACCTACAGGCAGAATCGGACCGGCGTGCAGCCCCATGGGACAGCCGCCCGTAGGGACCTCATCCCCCACCAGGCCGAGGGGGAGACAGGGCAGCCTCATGGCTGGGATTCGGTGGGCCCAGGATGAGCACAGCCTGGCCTCTCATGGGGACTATTTCCAAATTAACTGTGGTGTGTGGACTTGGAGCAATTGGAGGCTGACTCTGAAGGATCACTTGAACGCAAGAGTTTGAGGCCAGCCTGCAGCTCAGTGAGACCCAGAATGAGAGAAGCCCTAAGTACCGCTCCCAGGACACAGGAGAACCATACAGATGCAAGTGGCTGGGTGGAAGTGTTGTGTCTCCAGGTGGGGGCCAGTGCTGGCTTGGGTTGGCGGAAGAGCCAGGAGTGCCACTCAGGATGCTTTATCCAGGGGGACAGTGCACAGCACCCCTGGACCTGAGTGGGTGCTGAGAGGCTTTCCCATGTTCCCCTGCCAGCAGGGACATCGGTTTTCCTAAAGCCCCCTTCTCTCGTGATGGATCTGCCCAGAAGTAACACAATCACCTTCCGTCTTCTGAAATGTTGTTAATCAGAAAACACTGGGGCTGGGGATTTGGTTCGGTGGTGCCACCCCCTGCCTCGCAAGCACAAGGTTCAGAGTTCAATCCCTGGTACCAAAAAAAGAAAACACTTTACTTGGGAACAAGACTGCAGCCTGTCAAGATGCCCAACATAAAATTAAAATGAGAAAAGGGCTGAGGCTGTACCTCCGCTCAGAGACCCTGGGTTGAATAGCCAGTACTCCCAGAAACACACAGAGAGGACCTGAGCAGACGTTTCTCCTCTCAAAAATGCAAATGCTCGCCAGGCGTGGTAGCATAGGCCTCTAGGCCCAGCACTTGTAGGGTGGCTGAGGCAGGAGGATGGGCTACCTAGTGAGGCCCTATCTCAAAAACCAAAGAAAATAAATATGACAACACCCAACACAACTAATCATGAGGGAAATGCAGATCAGAACCGCCCTGGCCATTATCCAGCTGTAAACAGCTGGCTCCCAAAGAATTCCTTCCACCCTAAGGGGTGGTGGCCCACAGGATGGAGGCCAGATCTATGTTCTCAAAACCAGAGCAAAGAACACAGTGGACTACAGCCACACAGCACTTATGGAGGGCAGAAGCGCACCAACAAACTTCTCCACAATGTCAAGGAACAATGCTGGGTTACAGAGGACCCAACTGAGCACGGAGAAGCAGCAAGAGGAGTAAACAGCACTAGCACAGGACACCTAGGGTAGGATTGTGTGCTGAACATCACAAACAGCCAGGAGAAGAAGCCTGAATATCACACAGAAGGGACAACCAAGCAGCCTCATTATGCAGTGTACACACAGAACAAAACACTACATGGCAGAAACAAAATCAGGACTCATGGCTGAGGAAAATGCACAGATGCAAAACAAGGGAAAGCTGGGGCAAACAGCCCTACAGGCTGGGTCCAAGGCCACTGCTGGGCCTGGCCAGGGGGCTGACCAGGGCCAGGGGACACCTTGGAGGACCGGGCCTGGGCTGCTGGCCCCTGCCCCGCCAGTCTCAAGGGTAACAGTAGGTGTGCAGGGCAGTGGTCCTGGAAGGGTCCCACTAGGGTATAGGTTGTCCTGGGCTCTGCTCTCCAAGAACCACATCTCCGGCCCATGAAACAGTGGCAGGGTCCCAAGACCCTCGGTGCTGCAGCTCAGTCACCAGGGACTGAACGACTCCTTCCCACAAATGCCAGATGGCACACAGTGGCCCTGGTATCCTTGGCTCAGTGCTGCCTCTGCAGGTCTCCGTGTTTGTGGAGGGCCGAGCAGCTTTATAAAACCACCACTGCCTTGGCCAGAGGATGCAGGATCACCTACCCTGTCCTGGTCCAGCCTTGGAGCTCACACAAGCATTTGGACTGGAATGAAGAGGCAGGGACTCAGCCTCCTGCGAGGAACTGGCAGGCTTGTTCTCTACCAGGACAGTGGGCGCCTGCCCACAGTGGGCACCAGCACCCAGGATGAGAGCACAGGCCCTGTGCCCAGTCCATCTTGAAATTAATGCAATGCAACTGTGGGATCTTTGAGGATCTTAGTACTTGGGACAGGAGATAAATTTCTTTACATTCTCACAACTGACTGCTCCATGCCTTCTGCTAGGTCACATCTCACGGGATGTCAGGCAACAAACAGCAAAGTCTACTCCTTGTCACTGGGAGGCCAGAGCCTGCCCAGCTTAACTCAGTAGCCTGGGCCATACCACCCATATTTATGATGAATGAGGTTCTGGTCGTTGGTAAACAGCTACTTTGTAAACTACATTGAAAGGCTAAGAAAAAGCACTCTGTTGCACTCCAAATTACAAACCACTCCTACTCACCAAGATCCCAGATCCAAGTGTCCCTCAATGTCCGTGTTCTTGTTTCCTCCTTTACTGTGCCCTAAGACCCCACTCTAGAAGGGAGGGAAAACCAGCTCTGACCTCCAGTGGGTCTCCTGCTCTTGTCTCACAATGCCGTGGGGTTCTGGTGGTTCTCAGTGAGGCCTCACTATGTTGCTAAGGCTGGCTTTGAACTCCTGGCTCAAGCGATCTTTCTGCCTCAGCCTCCTGAGTAGCTGGAACTAGAGGGGTGCCACCATCTCTAGCTTCTGTCATGGGTTTCTAAATTACTTGGAGCCTTGCTCTTTAATGGAAAAAAAAAAAAAGATGTAGGAAGTTCTGTTTTCTTCTTTCCTTCTTCCATGACCCCGTCACTGCATCTTTCCTGTGTTTCTCACCAGAGGGACCCTGAAGGGCACCAACCTGACTACACATCTGGGCCTGCAGCACTGCCCAGGGCTGTGTGGGTTGCCCCAGCCTGTGAGGATAGCCTTGGTTTTCAGAAGTACACACTAAAGTTCTCGGGCATAAAGGACACCAAGGCTGCAACTAACTTTCAGGTGGTACAAAGAAAGATGCATTTAAAGAGTCAAGAGGAGCCAACAATAATGCTCAATGGCTAACATTCGGGGCATCTCAGTGAAGGGCACAGCGGAATTGCTTCTTGCAGGTCATGTAAAATAATGTTTTAAGAAATCTTATAGGGCTGGGCTGGTGCTCAGGGGTGGAGCCTGTGCTTGGCATGCTCAGGGCCCTGCCTTCCATCCTTAGCACCAAAAAGTTATTTAAAAATGGCTGAAACACCAGGCATGGTGGCACACACCTGTAATCTCAGCACTTGGGAGGCTGAAGCAGGAAGATTACAAGTTCTAGACCAACCTGGGCTTCATAGTGAGTTCAATGTCAGTCTGAACTACATATGGAGACCTTGTCTCAAAAAATAACAAACAGAACAGGCTGAGATACAGAAGTGAGGGAGTGACATTTCCTAAGAGACAGACAATCCCGAGTAACAGAGGGTTCTCCAGAAAACACTCCAGCCCTCCCCACCCAGAAGGTATTTGCTCTAAGGAGCTGGTACAGGGAATTGGAAGGGTTGGACGTTTCTGTAAGGCCTTTACCAACCGGAGGGGACAGATGGATTAGGTCTCCCAAAATCTCCACACCCTCCCCTGAGCAGACACCAGGGATCCAGGACTCTATCACATGCACAGGCTGTGAAGCGACCCCCAAGGGTCCTAAGGGCCTGTGTTCAGGGAATGGAGGAGGGTAGGGCTGCAGCAGACCTCGATACCCTCAAACCCAAGAGGGAGGTCTGCCTTGTGACTGTCGTCTATGAGGGCAGACTTGAGGGACTAAACCCGTAACCTCTGGGCTCTGCAGCTGACTCCACTTACACAGTGTCAGAATCAAGGTGAACTGCAGGATGCTCACCCAGTCCTAAGAACCAACTGGTTTGGGAAGAACCCAGACCCGAAGATCCCTGCACTAATTCACGATCCCAAAGGGACACCTGCATGTCAGTATCTCCTGCAGCACTGTCCACAGCCGGCAGACACAGAAACAGCCACAGTGTGCTCCATGGATGCGCAGGGATGTACCAGATACAGAGGAATATTACACAGCCATAAAAAGGGTAAGGCTGAACTGGAGGTGTAGCTCAGGAGTCAAGACTTTACCTAGCATGAACACAGCCCCAAGTTTGATCCTCAGCACCACATGAAAATAAATACATAAACAAACAAACAAACAAATAAATAAATAAAGGCCTGTGATAGTATGGCTGGAACTGGGGAACATTATGTTACATGAAATAAGCTAGGCACCAAAAGACAAATGCTACAGTCACGCTCAGATGTGGAAGACTCTTGGGTTGTCCTCAGAGCAGTTGAGAGTAGGACAGTGGTTACCAGAGCCTGGAGACAGTGGAGGGGAAGGAGCCAGGGAGAAAGGCTGGTCAATGGGACTGAGCTACAGGCAGACAGGAGGAGGGGGTTTCAGTGTTTTCCGCAGGAGAGGAGTACTGAGAATAAGGACAGCAGACCAAAAGAACTCTGAATGTCTTCATTACCAAGAAATGAGAAACGTCTGGAGAGACAGATCTGTGTACCCTGATTTGACCGCTACACAATGTGTACATGTGCTGGCAACACTGGCACCCCACAATTATGGACAACTTTTAAGCATCAATTTTAAAATCTTTTACATAAGAAAATCCATTGATGTAAAAGCTAATCTCAAAAACAGCTAATCCTGGGCTTAGGATTTAGGTCAGTGGTGCCCCCCTAGCACAAGGTCCCAAGTTCAATCCCTGGTGGCAAGAAACAAAAACAAAAACCTAGCTAATCAAAACAAAATTTTAAAAAACCCACCTAATCCCCAAAACCTAATCCCCCAAAACACCTTCACAGAAGCATCCAGAATAAGTCAATGTCTGGGCACTGTGTCCTAGCCAAGGTGACACGAAACACCAGCCATGACAGCCTGCAGGAGCAGGCCCACTGTCTCAGAGGGAAATCACAGCGCTACACCCACAGGCAACTTGGTAACAGGGCTCTGCCCTCCCTCCTCTCACTGGTAGTCAGAAGTCAGGGTGATCAGCAACACTGACAGCTGTCTACCAAAGCCCAGGGCTGCTGTCATGGGACCCAAAGTAGCCGCACTTGGACAGTGGGGACATATCGCACCTCAGGAAGATGCGGTGGCTGGCCTACCACTGACAAAACACGATCCCAGCTCCAGTTATCTTCCTGTAACTTCTGAGTCTAGTCTGGAGTAAGACAAATCAAACTCACAGTGATTATCTTATTAGAAATATTTAAAACAGGGTGGGCATGGTGGTGCACACCTGTGATCCCAGCACTCAGCAGACTGAGGCAAGAGGATCACTGCGAGTTCAAGGCCACCCTGGGCTACACAGTGAGTTCAAAAGAACAGCCTGAACTGCATAGTGAGACCCTGTTTCAAAACAAAAAAAGAGTGGTAGAGCCAGAACCAGGAGTCTGTGGGTGGGGAACATTGTCCAGGGGAGCACTTGCCTTACACAGGTGACTTACACAGCAAGGCCGTGGGCTCCAGCTCTGGCACCAAAAAACAAAAATGTAAAAGAAGCCTGTACTCGCATCCGACCCTCCCTCACCACCCAGCGCTTCCAGTCTACACTGGAAGTCAGGCCAGAATTCCCTCTCGGACCTCGCTGGAGTTTCGGAGAACTATAAACATCTATAACCAAGTGCTGCCTCTCGCCAGGCACAAACCTCTCCATTCCGGCCAGATTCTGTGACTTGCTGATTTCCCAGGCAGGCTGCTTGGTAAATCTTCCTACGAGCACTCCAAGTTTCTATTGTTTCTATTTCTAAAAATAAAGTGCTAAAGAGTTATGACACAATTGACTCAGCACAACACTATTCTGCGTAATAAATAAAACAAGTGTTTCTACCAGAATTTTAAAACAAGTTGCAAAACACAAATATTTATAGTATTTACAATGTTATCCCTAGGCAGTGAGATTACAGTTAGCTTTTCTCTGGCTTCCCTGAGTTTTCTAATGTTTTCTCCAGGAATCAAAAGGACTTCCATATCTTAAAGACAAAAGTAAATAAAAGCTGTGTATGCCATAAACAGGAACACCACACCACCACCGTTTGGAACTGCAGTGCAAGCCTGAGCTGCTCCTGGCCTGGGGTCAGACTGCAGCTCCTTTCCTGAAGCTGCCTCTGCTCAAAGGCTCTGGACTTCTCGCTGGTCTGTTACCAGCAGACAATAAAGTTTTGCAGAGGAGATGACAGGCTTATTTTCATCATGAATTAGTCACAGAAGCACTTAAAAGGCCAACATTCCACTCTCACATGGCCTTCCTATGCAGAGTAAGTAAACAGGCTCCATTTATAGGCTGTGGTTTCTTTAAAAGAGAAAGGTTTCCACCTACAGCCACCGCAGTGGACAGGACCAGGAAATCTGCTCTGTTAGAAGGACCAAGTCTGCTGTGAAGGTCATTTCCGCCATCCCCTGCCTAGCCCTGACTCCACAGGCTATCTGGAGCCTGGAGGTGCCCTCCAGCTCCGGGGAAAGGCCCTGTCACTGCTGCCCCCACAGCAGAACAATAAAAGTGATGTTGCCCGTCGGAGCTCCCCCACTGGTGATCGAATCCTGAGGCGCTGCCTCCTGCCAGCTCCTTGGCAGCCTGCCCAAGCCCTCTTTGTAATAACCTGCTTTAATCCTTCGGTGCCTTCTTTCTAAGCTGTCTTGCATACTAAGTACAAAGAGGCCCAACTGGTACCTAACAAATCTTGCCCTTTTAACTATATTTTAGGGAAGAAAAAGAAAGAGTGCCCCAGAATGAGTCTGCAAAAGCAATCCGTTCACCCACAGCAATGTTAAATGTATCATAACACCCTACAAAAACACTCTAAAATACCATCAATGACATCTCTGCAAACTGGCCTCAGGTTTGCAAGCATGTCTCTCCACAGTGTCCCTACACCCTGGTATGGCAAAGACAAAACTCCATGGTCAAGGGCAAACACAACACAGGCCCCTGAGGCTGTGAAACAGAAAAAACACAAGATTGTTCAACATTTTGTTTTTCAGGACCTGGGGTTGAACCCAGCCCCGCCCCCCCCCCACCCACCCACCTACCCACCCGCTCAGTAACAAGCTACACCTCCAGCTGAACATACTCTTTCCTTTTTGTTCCTTTTCAATGCCTGTGTACCGGAGAGTGGAGAAGATCTGGAAGGCCACACACCTTCAGTTTAAGGAGGTTAATAATGAGGATAATCAGTGACTTTAACGTATTTTTGTATTTTTCTACTGCAAGAAAAATTTTGCAAAATGTAAAAAGTAACAATGGCTAAAACAATCTGTGATTTCTCTACGGAAGGGGGGGCCCAGAGCCCCTCCCGCCGCAGTAGAGCCGCGATTTTCCTCTAATCAGCCTCGTCAAAGCAAGCCCCACAATTCCCCGCAGATTCCTCATCTCATCCCTTCCAACCCATAAAAATATCGGGCCAGGTTCCAGGCCCTTTTCTTCCACTCCTGCTGCAGAAAACAAAAGGGTAGGGAGAGGGAGGGAATGAGGGCGGGAGCCCCGACTGGGCAGCCGCCGCCGGGGCTCGCACGGTGGGGAGGAAAGCGGCGGGGAGGCTCGGGCTGCGGGACGAAGAAGAGGGAGGGGTCTGCGAGGGTCTGCTGGGCTCTGTAGGGTCCGCAGGGTCGGGATACTTGGAGGAAGAACCCTGCGAAGGCCAGGGCTCGCAGCGTCGTAAACCCCGCTCCGCCCACGCCAGGGAGGGCGGGTGGATCACAGCGGGCTGCGAGGATGGAGAAACTGGGAGAGGGGCGGGTGGGGAAATGAAGGAGGGAGGGGCGGGGAACGGGCGAGGTGGCGGGGATGCGGGGACCCCGAGCTGCTCCCGCAATTCCGATGCGCGCGGACCCCAGGCTGTCCGTAGTGGGTAGGGGTCGGGACCTGGATCGGGTCGGTGCCCCTCTCGAGTCGGGTCGGGTCCTCGGGAGCCCGGCCACCCGCCTCACCTTGGGGTCGCGCTCGTAGTAGTGCTGCTGCGTGCGGATCCAGCGCCCCACCAAGTGGTCGCGCACCGTGTGCGCCAGCGCGAAGTAATAGTCGCGCGGAGTGGCCACATTGCGGTCCTTGACCAGCGTGAAGTGTAGATGCCGGTTGAAGCTCTTCCGCACCTCGGCCACGTCGCCCAGCCCCGCCAGGCCGCGCACGCTGATCTGCTTCCGCCTCTCACTGTCAGTCAGCGGCTTCGCCATCTCGCCGTCCGGGGTAGGACGAGGAGCGGGTGCTGGGCTGCAGGAGACACAGGAGAAGCGACTGCGGCTCCGCCGGACTGCGGCTCTGGCCGGTTCCCGAAGCGCCTACGTATGCGGGGGCGCGGGGGCGCGGGGACGCGGGGCGGGGCGGGGCCTCCCGGGGGCGGGGACGCAGGATGGGGCCCACTAAAAGGATTGGCGCCTCCGAGAGCCGGGAGGCGGGCCTCCGAGAAGGGCGAGCCCTTGGGAGCACGTGCTCTGCGGGCGGGGTTTCTGAGAGCAGCGGGGCCTCCGAGAAATCCGAACGGCCCTGGGGCGCATGTGGACGGGGCCTCCTGGAGGGCGCGGGCCTGTAGAGCTGGACCTCCTGAGATTTGCTCCTCCTAGTCAAGGTCTGTTCTGTTACCTAGGACCTCACCTGTGACCTGGCCAGGCCACCTCACCTTGGCGTCCAGGGAAGAACAAGATGCCAACTGAGCCCGGACATGGACTGACTAGCTCTTCATAATCACTCCTTTTTTGTGAAGACATCTTTTCTAGTATTGGGGATCAAACAAGGGGGCGCTCTACCACTGAGCTACATCTCCAGTTTATTTATTTATTTATGCAATTCAGGCTGGCCTGGAATTCACTATGTAGCCCAGGCTGACATCCTCCTGCCTCAGGCTCTTGAGTGCTGGGATTACAGGCCTGTGCCACCATGCCCTGCCTGTTTTTTTATTTTGAGACATAATCTCACTAAGTTGTCTGGGCTAGACCAAACTTGCAGTCCTCCCGCCCGCGCCTCCCAAGTAACTGGGTATGTGCTACTGCACCAGTCTTGGAAGACCATCTTTTAAAGTTTATTTAAGAAGGATGCGCTGGGTTCAGTCTCTAGCCACAAAAAAATAAACAAGTGTGTGGATACTGGACGCTGGCTCAGGTTCAGTTGCTGTGCAGTGAGCTCTTCTGTGCTAGAAGTTGCTGTGGATGATCTTTGGGACAGGCATTGAAGACCCTCCTTGCGGCTGGTCCCCTACCTCGGGGACAGAAGGGGCACTGCCTCCTGCGTGGAATGTGTGGGGAAGCTGGGGGAGCTGGGTGTGAGAAATGGGAGCTTTGGGTCTGCTCCGCTTATGCTTCTTGAGGACCCAAGAGTGTCCCTTGGGTCATGGGGTTTCATGAGCATTGGTGACATGTGACTGTGGGCCGCCAGCCTGGGGTGCTACCAAGGTACAGAGGGCTCACACTCCAGCATCCCGGCAGTGCCATGGTGGCAGCTGTTTGTGCTGGTCCATCTGTGCTCACAGTGGAACACAGGCCAGGCCTTTCAGGGGTGGGAGGTAAATGCCAAAGCTTTATTCTGGATAGGTTGGAAGGGTAGAGCACTAGCTAGAAGGACATCCAGGCCCTCCTGGCAATCCCTCCCCTGGTGCTTGTCAACACAGTCCTAGTGACACTGATTTTTCAGCATCCAGGAGGCTAGAGTACTCTGTGGGGGTGGGGAAGACGGAAGGAAGCTCTTCTCTATAGAAGGACAGCAAACAAATGCTGGGAAGGCTGGACTTTCAGGCCAGGGCTGCAGTGGGATTAATGTAGGGTTCGAATGAAAGCCCTACAAATCACCCCACAGACTACCTTATTTAGTACTGTAGAGTGGAGAACTAAATCCCAGTACTCATGAGGTTGAGGCAGGAGGATCACTGAAAGTTCAAGGCCAGTCTGTGCAACATAGTGAGTTTATGGTCAGCCTGAACTGCATGGTGAGACTCTGCCTCAAAAAACAAATAAAACAATGGAGACTATGGCAGACTCCAGCCTCATGAAGAGATCTACCAGCATCACCAACAAGGGGCCTGGCCCTACTGAGCCCCTCTGGACTTAGCGTTCACACCCTAGCACTTGTTCAGGCCCCCAAGCTCCACTTGGCTGCTTTGCTGCTACCCTTGGTCTCCCCGCTCACCCTGAGTAGGTGTGGTCAGCAGTTCTCTTATAGCACACTCTAAACCCAGTGTAGTGGTGCATGCCTGTAATCCCAGCACTTTCCGTGGCTGAAGCGGGATAAGTTTAAGTCCAGCTTGGCAAATTAGTGATTTAGCAGGACCCTGTCTCAAAATTTAAAAAAAATTTTAAAAGAGGATGGGGATGTAGCTCAGTGTGAAGGCTTTGAGTTCAAACCCTAGTACAAAGGGAAAAAAAGAAAGAAAAAGGAAAGCCTGTCTCCAGACTTAAAACCTTGATGTTTTCTGTTATTTTGCCTTCTCATTACTTTCTTTTTCTTTTTTCTTTTTTTTTTCTTAGTTTTTTGAGACAGGGTCTTGCTAAGGCCTTGAATTCACTATGTAGCCCAGGCTGGCCTTGAACTCATGGCGATCCTCCTGTCTCAGCCTTCTGAGTGCTGAGATTACAGATTATTACCTTTCAAATCCAAATCCTACAGCAGCCGGGGATTTAGCTCAGCGGCATGTGCCTGCCTTGCAAGTGCAAGGTCCTGAGTTTGATCCCCAGTACTGCAAACAAAACAAACCAAATCCTAGAGCAAATGCTGTAGATTTAAACCTAGTACTGCTGGATGTGACCAGACATCTGCTGGGGTTGCTGGGGCATCTTTAGAATGGCCCTGAACCCCTCAGCTGCATGCTAATATCCCCAGGATGAAGGGAGGGGGCTGACCCTGTGTGTACCTCCACCTCTTTAGTTTCTACATCAATTTAGTCCTTATAGCTTGGTACAGGCACTTGAGAAACACGAAGCTTTCACAAAAGCTGAACAGACACACCCATGTGACCCTACAATTCTACCCCAAAGGAAATGCCCAACAGAAAACAATGCTTTAGGGCCAAGGATTTAGCTCAGTGGTTTCGCTGCAGCAGCACAAGGACCTGAGTTTGATCCCTGGTACCAAAAAAAAAAAAAAGGCAATGCTTTGACCAGGTGTGCTGGCACATGCCTGTGATCCCAGCACTTGGCAGTCTGAGACAGGAGGGTCACCAAAAGTTCCAGGACATCCTGGGCTACATAGTGAGTTCAAGGCCAGCCCAAACTTCATAGTGAGATCCTGTCTCAAAAAAAAAAAAAAAAAAAAGGCAGCAACCTGACCTTCAAATGAAGAAACAGTCAAAGGGATTGAAGATGTTTTAGGCAAAACATTTTAGATCATCTATGCTAAAGGACATCTCCAAGAATGCATTTTGTTTTTGCTTTGTTTTTGTTTTTTTGAGACAGAGTCCCACTTTGTAGTGAAGGCTGGCCTTGAACTTGCAGGGATTCTCCTGCTTCAGGCTCCCAAGGGCTGGGGTCACAGGTGTGCACCATCATGCCCAGCTCCTTAAAAACAATTTTAGGTCTGTGTATTTGCAAGCATGATTTAAACAAGACACTTAAGAGCTGCACACTTTACTACATGAAAATGATATCTCAATGAAAAACATTCTTTACAGAATTTCAATCTGTCCAGAGTAAGGGCTGGAAGCAGGGCCCCTCCTAAGAGTCACTGTGGGAGGAGGTCCATGGAGGCTTTGAGCCCAGCAGGCTGCCCAGGAGAGGACGGCCAGGGCTTCTTGCCAAAACCTGTTGCTCTGCAACCCTCAATCCACACTGTTTGGTTTGGGCGGAGCCCCAGAGAAAACAGAAGAGGCCTGTGGGTGCCTGCTGGGTGGAGGTAGTTGATAGGGAAAAGTTTTAAAGTTTAGTAGATTAGCTGTTAAAGCAGTTGTAAAAGCAAAATAGGTAGTGTATCCCTTTAAAAGCCTGCCTTAGCCCATTGCTTTTGTTGTTTAAAGTGAAGGTTATATAGCTCCTTTGATCTGTAGCTCCATTATAGATAACATCCTAGCTCTGAAGAACAAAGGGGGAATCCTTGAACAAACTTGTCATGTATGTGCCTTAACTGTCATCTATTCAGGACTGTAATCAGTGACAGAAACCACCTGTGTCTAACAATTAAACAGGGATTGGAACTTTATTTACTTAACAAAGACCACTAGGGATGAAATAATGACTGACAAAAGTATAAAAGGTGATGGACAAAAAATGCAGGGCAGGGTGGGGGGACTCTGACCAGACCAGTTTCTGGCGTCCTGCCTTGCTAGCAAGTAAAGACCTTTGTTATTTTACCTGAATTCTGTGTCTCTGTGCAGTTCTTTCCACAATTCCAGAACACAGTGAGGAGGGAGTGAGCACTTGCACCCCATCATCAGGGATCCCTACACTCCACAGGCAGGGAAGGGACCTGCTGGGCCCCAGCGCTCCCCCAGGAGGAGGCCTAGCTGTCCTCCACAGTCCTGGGTCAGACACAAGGAGACTGAAAGAGTTCAGGGGCTGAAAGGACAAGAAGGGCCCACCTACTATCCAAGGAGGGCAAAGGAGAGAGTGGGTTACGGGAAACCTGTTGATTGTAGGCTGTGTGTGTGTGTGTGTGTGTGTGTGTGTGTGTGTGTGTGCTGGGCATGAAAGGACAAGAAGGGCCCACCTACTATCCAAGGAGGGCAAAGGAGAGAGTGGGTTACGGGAAACCTGTTGATTGTAGGCTGTGTGTGTGTGTGTGTGTGTGTGTGTGTGTGTGTGTGCTGGGCATGAAACCCAGAGCCCCTTGTAGGCTAGGAAAGTGCTCTGCCCTGAACTGTATCCCAGCTCCAGGTCTTCACTTTCAAACCACTTTCCTGAGATACAATCTATGCACCATCAAGTACCCCACACACAGTGCACAATTCAACACTTTCTGATGTATTTACAGGCTTGAGCAGCCACCGACCCATTTGAAACGTAGAACCTTTCATCATCACCCCAAACCCTGCCCGCCTCTCCCTTGGCCCAATGTGGTCCTGTCCCTGTGCATCTCGTCTGGACACTTCACATGAGTGGACTTGACACTGGACAAGAGACATGCTAGAAATGAGACTGAGTCAGATATTGTAAGTACACACTCTCACTTCAGCTCAAAGGAGTCAGAACTGGCTGAGAACGTGTCACTGCTGCCATGGCTCCTTGCTTCAGTGATGATGTGATTAAAAACCAGGCAACACTGGGAACTTACAGGGAGCAGCATTAATTTGGGGAGTTTATTATAGAAAACAAAACCACTATCCCACAGGTTAGGGGCAATGATGGGGTGCTTGCACAGACAG